CTTATCACCGCCCCTTTGGACGGTACTATTCTACCTGGAGTGACTAGAGCATCATGTCTTGCCCTTGCGAGCGATCCAGAATTCCACCAAGAAATTTCAATGCGCTTACACCCACAAGAAATGGTATATACCATGAGTGACCTCGCCAAATGGTCATCCGAGGGCAAACTGCTTGAAGCATTAGCCATAGGCACAGTGGCCATTGTTGGACCTTGCGATAGAATTGGGTACGAGGGTAAGGACATCGTAATTCCTGGAGATGGGTTGGGTCCAGTCGGCACGGCAATCCGGAAAAGATTCTTGATATCCAGGAGGGTAGAACAGAGTGGAAAGGATGGGGCGTGGTCTGCGCTTAGTGATATGTTGCCACAATACCTACGATATTGGTGCTCGTACAATAGGGTCTTCTGTACCTCTCTTGATGTATTATTAATCCATCTGTATAGTACACCGTTACATGTATGTGTTTGGTAGGTTGCATGAGGAAATACAGCGTGATAAAAGTCGGGATATTCTCTCCTGCCATGTACACATTAACAATTACAAGGAGGCCGACAACCAAATTCACGAGACATGGACAGATCATCATATTCTCTCAGTGTGGTACAGGTCGGTGATTAATGATTGTTAAGGAAGAGCAGAATGATATCGGTAGAAACCTGATATTACCCAACAGCAGCTTTGTCATTAGTGGAACCACAACGTCAGTATCGGCTTGTTGGAGGATGTGATTGAATTTTAATAGGGGTGGGTGCTCAAAGTGGCTCGCGGTTTTCACATGACTTGTTTCGTAATGCAGCCACACGCTTCACTAGAGTCTAGCAAGTACTCTGACTACCATTGTACTATGTACAATGTCACCATCAACACAAGTAACTGATCATCAACTGGACCTACAGTACCTCAAAAATCATCTGAATCTTGACTCATCTCTTGAATCCTCATTACTCGATATCTAACACAGGATAAACCCAATGCGGCGATCCTTGAAGCGAGCTTTGACGTACATTGTCTACCATGTACAACAACTTCGTCACTATGGTCATTTCCCCCACTCAGGGCACGAGGACTCTTACCTTGTCCGGGAAACATACTTAAGTTGGACCTGCTCAGGCAGTATGGCACTCATCATCTAGATTCTGCTTCCTGTCTGCTATCCATCCCAACTTGAAATCTATCCACCAATACTCATTTTTGTAGTCACCCATACCATCCTCCAATGGCTTGTAATCTCGCAAATACTCATGTACCTGAGCTGACGACCGACAATCGCGCATCCGGCAGTGGAAACTTCGCAGACGTTCGGAAGGGAATCTACACCCAGCAAGGTCATAGTAATACCGTACGTGCTACTCCGTCACTGGTGACGTTTAACGCACTCATATTCACCCATCGATGTAGGTAGCTGTGAAGGTCTTGAGACCATCACTTCTGTCAGACATGAGGAAAACCATACGGGTATGTGGATCGTTTATCCATGCGTCATCCTTTTTACTTAGTCTGCCTTTGGAAATTTTTACGAGAGGCAAAAGCTTGGAGCACGCTGAATCATCCCAACGTGGTTGGATTCATCGATGTGTGTTATCAAGATATACGAGGGGGTGGTACCCCCAAGTAGCATGTGGTTAATGCTGACGGCCTGCTGGGGATGCAACCGGCTGTATCCGAATTTTTAAATAGCATCTATCCTGATTTGCAGTAAGTAAGCTACATGGTGAAACTAGTGTCGGATATTCCTTCATTACATATGTTATATAACACGGACTTGACGAATAATGCTATATAGTTTTTTTTTGGTTTTATGTCAATAGTGAATTCATCGTGGACATGATAGGGGAGTACCCGTGTGACACTATTAGTCAGCATAAATTTAGCTTTCACGGCCGTTGGACTCTCATTGTCCCGGGTCCGTCAACGTGCAAAGTGCTCGCCTATCCGGAAGACCCATACCACAAGACAGCGGGAGCGTTTGCAACCAGGAGGGTCTCATCCAGGGCAACGAGCTCATGAGCAATCTGGCCGACAGACTCAAAATATGAATCCAACTGTAGACATACCAAGGAAAGTAACCTATTGTGCTGTGCGCCACCAACGCGGGCGCAGGGTACAGTGCCCTTGCGCGATGCCGGGTGTAAATTAAACCATCCCCAGCGATCTTGAAGCCATGCACTGGGTGGACCAGCTCGGGCTAGACTGGTTTGCCTCGTTGCCTGCACAGTTTTGGAAGACGTATAATTCATAACGTATGCCCTGAGAGTCCGATTCCTGTGCACACTGGCAATTTTTGGTACACGTTCTTCAGAGAGCTTCCGAAGGTGTACAGTCCGCCCAACGCCTTGATCTGTGAGCTCGCAGGTATTGCGGGCAACGACATAGACGTGACCGGAAACCTGCAGCAGGCGATCAAACATAAACAAGGGTTGTTTATTGCATAGAGGAAGACATTCCATACATTAACGGTCTCATCCAAAGGTGAGTTGTCCTGCGATCAAGTGGAACATAGCTGACCATACATTGGAGGTGCCGGCCACTCCGAGTTCTGGACTGAAGGATTGGTTCGAAGCGCAAGGTAGGTTGGGTGATCACTGATCAGGTGGATAATACGTCGCGCAACACGTAACAATTTATGGTCTGACGAGCCTCAAATTTTTCTAGTTAGTCTCTTTTTTTCTTTGCGAGTCTTGCACCTGCTTGGTGTTCGTGTTCATTCACTGGAGCTGCACAATTACGCCCATCCTATAATTCCACACCACAGTCTTGATGAACCACGTCGCCGCACGATTCATCGCGCGTGTTGTAGTCGTTAAGATCGAAATCGCAACATAGCAGATTTTGTGCTCGTAGCCGGCCGGAAGACGGGCTTCATGCGCACGCACATGGTTGATCCAGTGCTGATGGATTGGACAATGCCTGAGTTTTTAACAACAGACGCGGTCACCGTGTTCTGTGTGTTTACGAGCACGGTATATGGCAGCCCCGAAGACATGCCAAAGGGCAAGAATATACTTGAACTTAATGCCACAGAGTTCGCCACGACGTACGTGCGCGGAACGAGACGCCCATTTACTCGACTGGATGCCGTATCGGAGGATCGATAACCAGTGCGCGCCATGCGGATGTGCGTACTTCGATGTGAAGCTGGGCGATAGTGGAAGTTCGATCCGGAGTTTATTGCGGGAACTGTGCGCACGCAAGAATGCCCAAACTGGGGTAGGAATGGGGAATGTAAGGCCTGGGCCCTGGGTAGTAGATATTGGTACTTTATTGACGGAGTGATCGGTGCACATGTTACGTTGCTCGTACGAGTCGTATTGCTACCTTTGCTGCAGTATTTTTTTCTTAAAGCTTCGTGGTATAGATATGATTCAAGATCCTCATTAGCAACATGGCAAAGAATACGCACAGGTCAATGTACTTCTGCCACCTTGAAAATCCTGCGCACACTGCGTTGAGCCCTGGCAAACACGAGGTGAATCAACTTACGTGTCCTGATAGTATTGCACGATGCATGAGGCAACATGTGACGGGGATCATTAGCGCACATCTAAATGAAGATGAACTCAAATATACATGAATATGTAACACCCCATTGCATCGTCTCCCTTGCAGCTTCGATATCACGAAACGCAAGGTAACACAACACGAGTATGAGACATATGGCTACATGGTGGCACTTCCATTCAACGTGATATCCTGTGTATCGTAGCCGCACAATATAAACCGTCAGCGCGTCAGCACTCAGCCATGCATGCATGCTATACCAGAGAAAGCCACAGCACTACGTCACAGAATCAGTTCTGCCATGATATTGACGGACATGAATAGATGTGCACAGCACTTAATGCTTGAATGGACCCTGCACCTTGTTAGATGCCGGACAAAGGCACTCCCGTGTGAGGCTGACAAGTACATCACGAGAACCACAAAACGCATCCAACACGCACGCGCCCAGGCTCGTGAACAACATGTGCCCGCCCGCGTGGCACATTGTACATATACCATGACCTTTCGCCCCCAACGCCCATGAATTTTGAATCTATAGCCGTCGATTCCCATTCCCAGCACATGAAAAGATTCGCCAATCCCGAAAGGCGAGAAGACGCACTCTCAGACCCTACCGCACCGCCTCAGGTGGTTGAACCGCAGCAGCAGCAACCTCAGCAGCAACCATCACCGAGTGCGAGCCACCCAGAAATCAGTGATGAAAGACCGCTGACACAGACCACCATCCCACAGATGTTCCACCAAAAGATGTTTCCTCACGGCCCGATGATACCAGCAGACAGCTTTCACCAGTCGCGCTCACTCCAGAAGACCGCGAGTACAGCCGTTCGAGGCAGCGCCAAGCCGCTGCAGAAGACAAGGGTAAACAACGTGCACCAGCAGAGCTCCTCTATGAGGACCGCACCAGGCTGAGCCCAAACCCAGTAGATGACCGCGGAAAACAACGTGCACAAGCAGAGCTCCTCTCTGAGGACCGCGCCAGGCGGAGCCCGAACCCAGCAGTAGATGACCGCGGAAAACAACGTGCACAAGCAGAGCTCCTCTCTGAGGATCGCGCCAGGCGGAGCCCAAACCCAGCAGTAGATGACCGTGGAAAACAACGTGCACCAGCAGAGCTCCTCTCTGAGGACCGCGCCAGGCGGAGCCCGAACCCAGTAGTAGATGACCGCGACCGCATGAGACAGCGCACACCCGGCGCAGAAGACCGCAACAGACAACGCACCCCCGCTGAAGTTCAGCAAGCCCCACAATACAATGAGCGTTCTCCTCTCTTCACGCCCCCTCAGTCGGTGCGCGGATCTGCGGGCCCAAGCCGCGGGCACGACGCATTTAGTCACCGCCAGCACTCGCCTGCCGACTCAGATGACATCGTCATGGTAGACAATCGCACAGAGTCCCAATCCAAACCAAGCTTCTGGGCGCGCCTCACAGGTATTGCAAAAGAGAGAAGCGAGCCAGAGCCCACGAACACACGCACGCGCGGCCGGCTCCCCCCACAGCCCTCCCGCCCCAATGTCGTGCTCTTCGGCGAGCGAGGAGCAGGCAAAAGCTCACTCATCAACATGCTTGTCGGCCGGGATGTATCATCTCCATCCAACCCAGACCTCGCACCGTTCGCGAGTAGGGGGTACGCTGTCGATGTGGGCGGACGGGAGGTAGTGGTGTGGGACTCGGTGGGGCTGCAGAAGGGGGAACATCACGATACGCTGTCCGAGGGTGCTACGAGGAACCTGCAGGGGTTGATACAAAACATTCATAGCGGCCTCAACCTCCTTCTGTTCTGTGTCAATGCCGCGCGCGTAAGTGAGGCTCTAGGAATCAATTACGATGCATTTTATAGCATTATCGGAGGCAAGAAGGTGCCTATAGTGCTCGTTGTGACGGGTCTGGAGGACAAGGATCCGATGGAGGGGTGGTGGAAGGAGAACGAAGCTGAGTTTAAGAGGCATGGGCTGACTTTCGATGGGCATGCCTGCATCACCACTACAAGAGGGAAACCACTCAGGGACGGCCCTGGGCACCGGCACGACGAGCAATATGAGCAGTCCAAGCTGGCTGTTAAAGAGCTGATCAAGGCAAAACTTGGTGCGGCCATCATCATTAGGGAGGAAGGGAAATTGGCGGAGTTGAGGGAGCTCTTGCGAGAGCAAGATGTGAACGCGACAGGCCAAAACACAGATAAAGGAAAGAATGGATGGAGTTTAGGAAAAACGGGGGGCACTCGAGAAGTACATAATGGCTACGGAAGCACACACGACGAGCAGTGGGGCGGTGACAACGGGACGGACAGAATAGAACGAGAGGGAAGGACTGCCGCGTTAGCATTACTGGGGGGGTTGTTTGCCGTATTTATTTGCCTACATTCAGGTATCGTCAGCTGTGTTTGATTACGAGACATGGACGAGCGTATTCATATGCCAATCACACTCACTCATTACATTATACCCTTTGCAGGCGCAAGAAAGACTGATCCTTGACGAAGCTGGAAAAGTTCAGTTGCAAAGTCCGCTTCATATGAGAAAGAAGGATTGTGCAGCAATTGGATGTTGGTAAAGCAATACACACTTTGCATCTATGAGATCGCCTCGTACAAGTCGATCTTCATGCATACTGCATAGAGCACGACTTAGTATCGCGGATCAAAGCAACACAAAAATGCATAGCTCACCCTACTCCAATTTTTGACTCCATAACTCGTTTCCTCTTGACTTCTTTAGCATTAAGACTCAGCAAGATATGATGGTGATGCTGTTCGAATACAGTGTGCAGAAGGCGAGGCCTTCTCAAAAAAATCTTTTCTTTGTAACAACCTCGTCAGCGACAGCGATGAGCATCTACACGTTACACATCTCTGGACTTCTCCGACCATCGCAGCGCACTCCGAATCCTCCCGAGGACGGTACACAACCCAGACTGAGAGAAGAGGCCCATCTACAAGCCAAGAGGGAGACAAGTGACATTCGTCCTTGAACACAAGCGGGCGAACACACTGGGTAACATTGGTAAATCACGGTGTTAGTGAACATATTCAAGTTGGAGTCGACAGGACCATATCTTTGAGATTCACGTTAGAAGCTTAGTGTTTGGGTCGCAAAATTTTAATTTCTACTACGACGGACAAAGACCTAAGCTGTAAGAATACGATAGAGCTATCTGGGCGAAAGCGCGCAGCGCTTCCCGGTCCCGATCTGCATGCCTGTAAGAGACGAGTGAGCTGCGAATCCCACACTAGTAGGAGTTCAGCGACGCATAGAGCGAAACTCGTATTCCCAAGGTAGTAGGAGCGGATGAACTAGGTGCTTACTTTGACGAAAGCCTTAGCGGACGCGTGGCATTGTGTATCGCAGATACTCATCATGAAGTGCAGGGGTGGCTTGCAGGTATGGTGCGAGGATCTGTGCGTGTTTTCGAAGGTAGAGTTGAAAGGCGTCGCTAGCCCAGCGTCCCATGGTTTTGACTACGTCAAATGGGATGTTGCGAAGAAGATATTCCAATGTAGCGCCTATTCTGATTCCATGACCCTGCAGAGGGACCAGGCCTGCATCTGTCGCGGCTTGTGCGAGGCACGCAATGAATTTTGACTTTGTGAGGACGCGATGGCCTTTCCCATGCTTGTAGGAAAAGAGGGCTATATTTCCGGGAGGGTCGTTAATGTGGTAATGATTCTCTAGAGCTGCTACAGGGTCGGAGACACCATGCTGGTGCGCGCATGAAACATCTTCACCTGTGGGGGAAGATTTTGTGCGCGGTAAGTGGAACACAGTCGTTTGCAAACCGTTTCGGTCTGTTTCGCGTTGGACGTCTGAGCGGGTGATGTGCAAGGATGGGTCAAACCTGTTAATGCTGGGCACTGTAAATTCACCTGCTCGAGCCATGGTGTAGAAGGTGATGGCGAGGCATGCGCGTACTGCAGCGGTGAGTGGATTGTCGGCGTCAAGTTTTCCCAGGAGCGCTTCGACGAAGCTGATTGTGTATGGTTGTCGTTTCTTCTTCTTGGAAGTGGCGGGGGTAAGGTTGTTCGCTGCTTTGAGCAGCGTGACAATTTGGTCATCATCGATGGTCCAGGGTTGACTGTGCAAGATATGCCATGCGCGCACACCATGTACATAGTTGGATACCGTTTTTCCAGAATATAGACCCGCCATGGTGGCAATGAATGAGGCGATGAGGTCGGAAGATGCTGGGGACCGTTGTGCTTCTGCAATCGACTTCGTGTCGCAGAATACGTGAAAGGCGAGGATTCCACTGCCATACAGTTCTTGAGTGCTGCGGGCCCAAGCGTGTATCATTACGTTTTGTATGCGCTGGACGTCGAGATTCGGGTGCGTCAGCAGTGAGTTAGAGCTCGTCGGGGACCAGAGACGTAGATGGTCTCTGGCTGCGCAATGTGGGCGTAATGGGGATGGGAGCAGAGCGGGGTTAGCAGGATAGGCTGTAGGGGAAGAAGCCTTCAATGGCTGTTTGATAGTTTTCGTGGGTGGCAAAGACTTACTATGTTTGTGACGCTTCGAAGAGAGCCTCCCCCTCGCGTCTGAGGATGTCGTTGAGGTTGTGGGGATGATGGTTGACATCGCGGCGAGGCTGAGCGGGTGTGGCAGTTCGGCGCCGCGTCGTTTCAGCGAGACGTTCAGCAGGGAGAGTGGGAGCGTCAAAGTCAACGAGGAACTCTTGGATTTCTGCGGGAATGTGCACTGGAGGGAGAAGGAGGTTGGCTGGTGGGTATTTCCCCCTTGAAGGCTCGTCTGCGGGGTTGTGCGTGCTGGGAACGTAACGAGTGAGGAAGGTGCAGTTGGTTGTGGCTGACAGCTTATGGATGCGTTTGAATACTTCATTGGTGGCGCGGTTCCGGCTGCGGCCCTTCCACCATCCTTCGACGACGCCACGGTTATCCCCGTAAATCTTGAGGCATGAGTTTTCTGGGCAGTTAGCAGCGAGCGTGCGAGCAAGGAGTTCCATTCCGACTGCTTCGGCCCAGCCAATGTCTCGATTGTCTCTGTCCCACCCTGGAATAAGGCGCCAAGCTCGCCACCAGCCCTTGATCCAGATCGCAACGCCAACGCCCGAGCTAGCGTCTGAGTAAGCTTCAGGTTCGATGACGTCGACAGGTCCTGGGATGGTGCGGGAGACGTTGGGTTGTGCGAGAGTGCTTTTCCACCAGCGGAGGTCGTTTGGAGTGTCTTTTGGGGGGGTGCGAGGCATGTGAGGACGGTTACTACAGATGGATAGCATGGCTTCGAGGGAAACCAGGTATGCTCTCCCGGCAGGGAGAACGAAAGACGCGTGAAGGAGTTTTCCGTGGAGCTGTTGCATTTCGTGCAGGGTGTGTGCGGGTTGCTTCTCCCACTCACGGATGGCCTCCAGGTATTTCTCCTTCTTCTGTTCTGGGATGGAGACCCTGCGGGTCTCCAGATCCCATAGGAACCCGATGAACGGGGCGCATGTGGAGAAGAGTATGTCCTTGGCGAGTTCCCACGGGATGCCCAGAAAGCGAGAGAGTCTGTTGATATCGTCGAAGCAGTAGGTGAAGCGTGCGTCTTCTGGGGAGCGGGGAGAAGCAGAAGAAAGGTTAATGATTGGAAAGGTGAAGTCTTCGTCGAACTCCTCAATTCGGTCGTCGGGCGTTGAGGATCCTCGATACCAGCGACGACCTCCCTCCACAAGACAACCGCCGTTCTTGGCGACGATGAGTGCTCTTGCTGCCCGCAGCCGGTTGTATTCGTTGAGGTATTTGCGCAGGATGCGGATGAAGAAGTGGTCGTCGACCCATTTGGACACGGGGCCGATGCCTTGTGAGCGCATGATGTCGGTGCCCGCATCCGCCATTTCTCCGTATGATCCTGCGGCTGATGAACAACTGAAGCAGAAGCTCGTGTCGATGGCGAAGCTGTTGGTGTCTGTGCGAACCACCAATCCCGGCCATTGGGAAGGGTGTAAAGGTACGGTTCGGTAAGCTTCGGCCACGTCTCGGACGGCTGCTTGGGATCCTGGTGGAAGGTGCCAGATGAGGGTGCAAATGGTAGCGGCGGTGCCCCACGTGCAAGGGTAGAGGTTGGAATCGATGGATGAGTTGATGGATGAGATTGGGGGGGAAGGTGATGAAGGAAAGGATAGGTTTTGGACAATGCGGAATCTCCCTGGTTTACCCGGCTTGGGTATGATGGACAAGGGAGCCGTTTGGAATGGACCAATGAGGGTTTCCGTCTCAGTTCTGGTGAGCGGGCCCATATATCTGCCGGTAGCATATTCACGTTCAATAATTGCAGTAAAAGCGTCGCGATGTTCAAGAATGGATGGATTATTAGCTGGGGTGTAAGTAGAGGTGATGGGGCGTATACTACCGGTGAAACCCGTGCGCAGACTGTTAGGTATATGTTTGTATCTATGTATAAGTTTGGAACTCGTGAGAATGTGGTGCCAGGCTTCTGCGTGGTATGGGGTGAGGGCGTTAGAGTGTCTCGCTGAGAGAACATCCTTGAGCGCCGTGTTCCTTGCTTCCACACCCTGAGCACTCGTGTACGTGGGAACGGGAGGTGTTGATGCAGCCGTTGGGTCTTTGCCAGTCGTAGCATAGCTCGCATCCTTCGGGGTTGACCAGGTGCCCCGCTGAATTGCGGGTGCAGCGGGTTTTGGTGCGTCCATCCCACAAGAGCTCGGTGACGCACTTGTGGATGTTGTGACGGAAATGGCCCAAGCAAAGGGCGCAGGCGGAGGAGCCAGTTTTGCCTGCGCCCGCTGGAAAAAGCTGGTTGGCGTTGGGTTGTTTCCCTTGCTGGTTTCCCGAGGGACGGCGGTATGGGTGGAAGCGTTCTTCAGACTGAGTGACTCCCGCAGGTTCTTGTTTCCCGCGAGATGGGGCATTTTCCCGAGTTCGTACTTTCAACTGTGAAGATGAGAGGGCGACAGAGTTTTGGAGCTGGGTTGGGAAGGTAGGGTAACACGGCGAGTAGTTTGGTAGCATGGGTGCGGGAAGTGGTTGAGCGGAGTTCATCCAAGTGTTGGTAGCGGGTGAGGGAAGCGAATTGTGGGTGGAGTTGGAACGTTGTGCGGGAAGCAGGTGATGGGAGGTGGGAAGCGGGAAGCATGGGTGCAGCCGTGGTTGAGGCAGGTTTGGTAGCATGGGTTGGTAGCAGGTTGGAGGCGAAGAGGGGAGCGTGTAGTGGGAAGCGGGCAGCAAAGGGAGCATGAGCGAGTTGGGGAAAGCATATTCAAATGTTGTGTAAGTAGGTAGTGAGTTCGCGAGAGGGTGAAGTGAATCAAGTGTGTGTTAGGGTTGGTCAATGTTTGTATGGGGGAAGATGCGTACCATTTTCATCCCTTCATCTCGTTCTTCTTCCCAGACGTCATCTGACAGGCTGTTATATAGCGCATTGTTGAATAATCCGATGTTGAAACCTTGATTTAGGGTAAGACGGTCGTGCCAATCTCTGCGAACCATGCTTGCGTAGCGGAGAAGAGTCTTTTCCCCCCGCGGGCGCATTCTGTGTTCGTGGTTTGTGATGAGCGTGAAGAAAAGTGCAAGCGCCATCTGGTGCTTGTCGGGCCAACCAGCCTTCTCAATATGGACGAGGAAGCTGGTTTTGGCCATGTTGAACTGCCTCCAGGAAAGATCATGATCCTGTAAGGCTTTGTTAGAGGCTTTGAAGGAAGAAAAGGATTTCAAGGCAACGATGCCATCGATCTTTTCGAGACCTAGAGCGTCGTCCGCGGAGGACTTGTTCCAGTCTCGAGCCTCACGACAGCCGTCAGGGCTGAAGTACCAGAGTTCAATGAACTCCATGTTCTTGACCTTTTGGAGCGCGAATTGCGAGGGACGCGGGATGATGACATCTGATACCGGTAGGTCGACGTTAAAGTCGTTGATCTTCGGTTTCTTTTTCTCGGTTTCGCGACGTTCTTCTGCTTCTGCGGCTTCTCTTTCTTCGCGCTCGCGATCTGCAGCTTCTTGGATGGCGTGTGCGTCTTTGTCGAGCTGTTGCTGCCAGAGGACGATGCGTTCTTGGCGTTCTTGGGTCCAACCATTGACGAGCTGGGCGAGGGCGGCTTCTGCGGTCAGTCCTGAGCCTACGAGGGCGGCAGTACATGCTGCAAAAGCAGGTGATTCGAAGTTCGGCTGAACTTCGAGCGACGGATCAGAGTTTATGCGAGGTACGATTACTTCCACCATGGTAGAACGACGGTGCCGGGCGTGGGTTTCGATATTAAATGAGAAAGGATGAAAGAATTGTGGGTGTTGGTTTACTTGTAGGTACTTGTGTGAAAGAAAGAAAACAAAGGAGGATGGAGAGAACGTCGACAACGACTACTAGGGAATGACAGTCGCGGTACGAGAAGAAGAGTTCGTGCCGCTTCTGTTGTTCTCACAAAGACTAAACTCTGTTCCTTCGCTCGTGCCTCGTTACGTAACAGAGCCGCAACAATGCCCGGACTGTATTTGTCACGTGAATGAAGCCATGATACCTATCTATGCTAAAGACGGCCACACCATATTACGAAAGTCAATATCCCATGCTTCCGATACGACAAGAGGTGGGTCGCGAGTTGTCCTCGAAGATGAGAAGCAGGAGCAAATAGAAACTTGCATCTAACCTTCCGGCGACATCGCGGCTTATATATAAATATTTCTCGCTCCTCGACTTTCCCGTTCTGTACACTGCTGTCCTTCGTTGGTACAGTAGAGATATACAGGACATTGGTTGAAACATTTTCAATCTTAAGACCTATAGCAAACGATTCGAATAAATACTACGACGAAAATATTGCCTAAACCTATGTCTCCTTGACATCTATTTTGTGACACTAAATAACTACTTGAGCACCGCAACGAGGCTTGGAATAGAGACAAAAAACAAATTTCCCGTGCTCCCTGCGAGCACTAGACAACGGTTCGCATCAACTTCACCGAGCATTACACACTACTGCTAGTCGATATATGCACGCGCTCTTGGAAAGCGATTGAGGTCATGCTGGTTGCTGCATCGGAGTCATCCACGAGTTTGGCATTATATTCCCGGACGTCAAGGATCAGCCGTGGTCCTAGCACGAACATCTGCACGACCTCCAAAATCTGCAACACGCCCAACAAAGTCTGATCTTCTAGGGGACTTTGGCTCTATAGAAATGATAGATCGTGGTCACATGTAGAGATAAGTGAATGATTGACATACCGTTAATAATGTCGGAGAGAAATCAAAGATGAGGGAGAAACATGAAACAGCGACAAAGCTATCAAGTCCGACCCTTCAGTGGAAAAAAGGACAATAATCACAATATGAACTTACCTTGCAAAGTAAACCACGTGAGTTTTGATCAACACCATAAAACAGTCCCTGATAATCCCTCCTGCCGAATGTAATCGCAGTTCACGGAAGTGTTTTACTGCGATCCAGACTGCGAGACATAGTGCGAGGACCTCCCACACAATACAGAGTATCCAAGTAACAGAATCCAGAACTAGAGTATCTCCTGAATAGCCAATCGTGCACTGGTGGGTGCCGAAGAGAATGAATTCCTCTGGTATCCATCAATGAGCCCTATGCACGTTCGTTTTCGTCCATAATCAAGCGTACCTCCTGAAGTATGCATCGTTGACATTAAGACTGTCACCCCATCAAAAATGTTGATTGCCAGGAAGGTGATAATGAGCAATATCAGGATCTTTCTGGATCGTTGATACATGGCATGCAACCGAGTGATGATGATGACTTGCAGCATGTTTCAGTCATTCCAATATCACTGAGGTCTCGCAAGTGCAACGCTCACCCCACAGCATGGCAAATACCACAACACCCGTCCAAACCCATAAAGTGTACATCATCCAGCCTGACAGATCCGATCAGTGACCAGTCTCAGGTAGCACACACTCCAAACAGACTCACATCTTTGGTAGTATAGCGTAGCAGTTATTAGTGGACTGAGAAGTCAGCAAAGAACTACACCCACTGCTACAGAATACCACGGTTCATTTGAGGGGAATGGCAGACATTTATACAGAAGACTCACTGTATCTGTCAGCGAGATGGTCAGAACACCGCCTGAATGCCGTTGGTCAGAAGAAGAGAAGACAGTAGATGTACTAAGGAGACATACCAATCATGTACAGACTGATTATAAGAGATAGATGATTAGCACAACACCAAATATTAAGCCTTCCGAACATACGCAGCAACTGGCATTCCAAGGTAGCGCACCTAGGATACTTTCAAGTCAGCACAAAATGGCAACGACGACAAACAAGCTACATACACTGAGATACATCACTGTCATGAGCGACCACCGTTGTTTCTGTAATTAAGTGTACTTTCATGAATGTTCCTCTGGCACGAGACTGTACTCACCCAGACCAATTCGACCTACAAAAGGATTATCAGCAAGACGGGTTCCGGTGATGGTATTGACATACCTCTTGTCCAAATGTTAGTGCTGAAAAATACTTGTGAGACATCAGTAGTCCTTTAATGTTATCATGCTCACCCCAATCATATGTTATTGCAACAAAGGCGGCAACTGCAAAACCGTAGGCAAGGTCAGATTGAGACATCAGCTTCGACATCCGACTGCTCTCCACGAACTTCCAAAATAACTGGCAAAACGATATACATCGATGGTCGGCCACCAAGTGGGATCATTGGAGACTATGGTCATATTGTTACAGAATGGGTGTGGGGTGTGGGTGAGAGGTGAACCTGGTACACGTACAGTGGTGACATTCGCGCTCTATGTACGTATACCACCATCCATGCTCACTATAGTTTGGTAACCGAAATATCAATAAGATCAGGGTAAATATTTGTGCACTCCACATAGATCAAGTTGCGGTTGCGGTTCTTATATTCTTTATATAGAAAATTGATGAACTTGTTCCCTGGAAACTCCGGCCGTGGCTAGGTTGAGCTATGCCTAGAGTGTTACGTTACTCTTCGCAAGCAGACGAGTACGTGATTCGGAGGAGAAAGGAACGGTACAAGCTTGAGCTCAGCAGGTGTTGACGTGGACGCGACGATAGTAGATAGATGATAGATTCCATCTTTGGCAGAAGCAATGTTGGCACCACATGTGAACACATTTTGTAACACGAATATCGCTGATTTATGGCCATGCTGTGGCGATGAATCAGTACTTGATTGATCTGAGAAGTAATGATATGTATAGCGCTGCAGCTGATGATGGTAAAGTCCCACTTTAGGTCCTTCAAGCTTTAAGCTTCGGAGATCACGTGCATGTGGTGACCGGAACATCACGGCAAGTCAGGTAAGTACGGAATTGCAGCAACAGCACAAGTTGCAGGTCCGAGTCAGCAGCTTGACTTGTACAACTACTCACGCAGAGGCAGATCCGGATTAATGACAGAATCATGTAATGTCCTCGATGTGTAAACACACGCCGAGGACATCACATTTTTTAACATGGATGAACGTACGGGATTGAGAGGGGGTATCATACGATAAGCACTCAGTACGACTATATATATATATAGGGATCAGTGTCCCAGGTGGTGTCCAATCAGGTAGAAGTAAGTAGGTCGCGGCTGCGTCATTGTCTGACGTCATAGGTGAGTTGCGTCATGCTTACAAATCATCCAACTTGCATGAAGAACATTTCTCCCAATCAGAACAACTCCTCATGATCATTGATCGTTTGAGATTCACGTGTTCAAACTTCAAGTTGACTCACTTAGACAGACTTGCACCCGCCTCCTAGTCGTTGAATCACAGTTACTTCGGTACTTGGTATGGGGTGATCGATTAATCACTGACACGAGGGTGGACGGAAGGGGATGTGCGGTGTCTTTGAAGGAGTTATCAGGGTCATTTTGAAGTCCGGGATCGAGGGTTCTCAACCTTGGCTCCTCGCGTTCGAGTTATCGCGCTCGATTCCTCAAAGATAGGAAAAATCTGGCATATCGACTCGGTCTCTCATCGGACATTAAACATCGGCAGCCGCAAGAAGAGGGATCGAGGCAAGTCATATATTTTATATCCATTTTACGACAGCCTTAATAGGAGAACAAGCCGAGAGGACGGGCACATGCGCTGAGATTGTAGTGAACAAAGACTGCACACGACTCAGCTGCCAAATCATCAAATACCATCGTGATAAATTGATAATCGTTGAGCAGCCGCTGCAGACAGACCTACCGAAGAATGTCTTCCTCCGCCTGGTCTGTGCAGAGTATAGGCGACTCCAGAAGATGTGGGTTTTGCGCACCGTTGTTGTTCGGTCAACAATCAACTTATCATCATACTCGTGCATGACAACGATGGCTGAGCAGCATCGCCAGACGTAGATTCAATCGTTATCAAGCGCCCTTCGCAGAGAACCTTCAGAAAACTCTTTCAATCTCGAACTCCTATACGCTGTTTCAATTCAGCGTTACGCATCGACCGATATACCCTCAGGTATACCAAGGCAAGTGGCTGTTTTGAAATTTGTGTCGTGTCGGAGGCTCGGCTTATCATTGTCTCTATTAAGAGAAAAATTCGAAAATTGATTATTCGTCATTTGGACCTATCCAAACTGTACGGAGATCTGCCTCAATCTCGCTTGGATTTTCTAAAACGCGAGGTGAGAGATATTATTCTATTGTACTTTGACAGAGCGCGAGCATCTTCGAGTCTGAAATCCGGATTGCAGGTACTACTGGACGCAGAATTATCGTTCATGATACAATACGAAGACGGGTGGGCGGTTGATGTACTGGTTCGTAACCTGTATTTCCAACGTCGTAAATTGGTTGAAGAAAAGGTGATTTTGATCATCTTTTGAGGATTGCTAATGGATTGTGCTAACAAATGACAAACAGCTGAAACTGGCTCGGAACACACAGGTTTGGATTCCCTATTCCACTGTAAAGTTTATCGCCCAACATATCTTACAGTGTCACTATCGTCAAAAGCCGCTTACCATCTGTCCTCGCGTCTCTCCAGAACTCGGCCTGATACGCAGACGCACCCGGGCTTCTGCCTCGTCACGTGTAGCTCTCCTATCCGCTCGCTTAGATTCAGCAACACCAAGTCTTCTTCGTTTCCATTCAGACATCGTCCGGGCTGGCCTCTGCACAGACGCGCATCTCCGTCAACTCTTTCGCATGACACCCAAATCGAGAGATAAATTCATTTCACAAGCACTAGGGAAGTCAACCTTATTTGAACGAGTTGCGGTCATGGACATTCTGGGACGGATGAACAACGAATTGTAGTTTGTAGATAATGAACTGGCATTCCGCGGGATGGTAAAGAACCTCGACGATGGTGCCAACCCTCTTGTATCATAGTGTATAAATGCCGCACGTGCAAGCGAGGCTGTGGAAGTCGATTGACCGCACCTCGGAGGGGGAAAATGCGCCCGTCATGTGAAGGGGCCTGAAAAAAAACGGCAGAGTTGAGTGAGCCCTTGCAATGGCACGACCCTACCCTGAAGAGCCGAACCATTTGTTTGTTGTATCTGTTCTCCAAATTACGAGTCACCACATCTGTTGCAGGGAAGGATCTTGATCCTTGCTAAAGCTGAGAAATTCAGCGGTCAGAACCTATACATTTAAGCAAAAGAAACAAACCATACAAAACGTATAAATTAATATAGTATCATACACAGAGCTACACTCGATAAAAGTCGGTATTTACGCATACTGTACAAAACCCAAGTCAGCGTCTCGAACCAATGCGATGATCAAATGAACGACTCACTCTCGTAAAAGTACCCATAGTCATAAACGTTTCCTTCCTAGGAGCATCATTCTTGTCCCGGTATAACGACTTGACCGCATCGCTCATGCCAGCCTTCCTCTTCGCCTCTTCCACAGCAAGACTCTGGGCAAGAGATCGCGATGCTGCAGATATCTTCGGGTTCAAACCCGATGCTGGAGAAGGCGAGTGACCCTCTGGGGATGCTTTCTTCTTCTTTGTACCGACCTCGTCAGCCACAGCATCTGCACCAGCCTTACGCTTCTTCGACTTCTTCACAGGCTCTAGTGAACGACGAAGTTCCATCGCAGCGTACATACGTTCCTCTTCTTCCAAGGGTGGGTTTATCACAAAAATGTCAGACGACCTAGAGAATTTGGTCGCGCACTGTGGACAGACTTCTAGTTGTTCGTCCGCGGCAGTTGGACTTTCTCCAGGTGCAGTATTTCCGTTCGAAGGCGATGAACCAAGGACGGTACGCAGACCAGATTGAGAGAAAACGCATCCACAAGTCAAGATGTAAACAAAGGGTTGTCCGCCGTTCATTTCCTTGAACGTCAGCGGGCACACGAACTTGGCGACATCGGCAGATGAATCAGGCGGAGGAGGTGGAGATATTTGGGTTAGTTTAAGGACTTTGATATCCTAACGAGTAATAGGTCAGTTATGTGTTAGTGGTGATACCAGAGTTATCACGTACCTTCAACGAACGTATATGTCCGCATATTTTCGCTGCATCTCCATAGGCGGTCTTATCAAGTAGATGTTCAATTATAGCATCCTTATTATACAGTTTCCCAAGAGCACAAGACACGATGGGTTCTTGCAAGGGACGCTAGGAAGTCCATGAGAACCATTCAGCCGCCGAAACAAAAGATGCTCACCTTTGAAAGAGCACAGAAAAACCATACAGCACGAGTCTGATTTGCCTTGTCTGCTTGTTCTGCCTTCTTTTTGCTCTTTACGAGGTCGCGCCTGTCGGGAATGCTGCCTCCATCATTCCCCATGTTGGTTGTAGCAGATCAAAGTGTTGTGATGAGTAAGCATCACGATCCAAGCTGTCAAACCTACAACCAAGATTCCGCCACACAAGCTCCCTGCCCCTCCGGCAGCGCCATGCTGCAGGAACTCTCGCACATGGACCGTATCACTCAACTTCAAGATGAGATCCAACGCGTGGGCGCTCCATTCCCTCTTAACCCAATTAAATTTTTTAAGCAGCACGTTTCAGCTCCTGACAATCATGTCAAGCACCATCGCCTACCTCACTGCCAGGTCTACGTTCCTGCAAGTCAGCGAGCGGATACCCATAACAAAGACTCGCAATCCGGATAAGTACGATCCCCCGGAATTATTCGAAGGTGTGTGACTAGGCATGCGTGCAGTCGTGGTGATTAAACAACGTTGTAGCAAACATGAACGAGCTCGTTCAGGATCTTATCGTTAAGGCAAAACAAATCGAATATCTCATTCAGTCGTTACCGGTCCCTGAACCAGAACAGCAGCAGGTCAGGCGCACGTAGGTCTTGATACAGCTAAAATGTAACTGTGGAACAGGCAAACCGACTTCAAGCACTGGAACAACAAACGCAAGACGCAAATGAAGAATATATCCAAGCGGTCGACCGCGCCAGTAAGCCATCATTTTCTTGCTGGTTTGCAAACAGTTGACCGCTACCTAGAGAACCTCCATCGAAAAATATCCGAATTTCTGAGGACCATGTTGGACAACGCTGATGGTCCGGTCGAATCCGTCCGCTGATTTAGACCTGTCTCAGTGGACCAATTGCATGATACGACAGCGCCCAGACAGATTTTGAATACCGTTCGGCCAATATTTCCATCTCATCGTCGTCCAAAAAGGAAGGTAGTGACAGCCGTGAAAACCGCCGGTGTATGATGTCGAGCTACGCTGTCAACAAAGGAAAGTGTTTTCCTTGTGACTCCTCGTGCATGTGCAGATGTTAAATGACCCTCAAAAGACAGACATGAGCATTGAACGTTAAATCACGGTGGTCAACAAAAGATGCACCTATATCACGCGTCAGTATCCATCATACATCCCTACGCTACGTAAATATACAAATTGCGGTCCTCCTCATCCCGTCTCAAATACTCCTGCTCGACAAGCCCGTCGATCCGTTGCTTAATAACGCTCACGTCCGGCACAAAGTGACTCTTCACAGCATCAATCGTCTCATTCTTCAACTGCTCATGTGAAAGCTCCTTCTTCGCTTTCATAATCCGCACAATCGCTGCATCCAAATAGTGCTTCCGGTCTCCCTCGATGTGCGATTGAGTCCGTTGGTTTTCCTCGGCCTACAGGACAACCAACCGAATAAGAGGTGTAGATGCGCTTCATCACAAGAGAAACCTACCGTCTCCTTCGCCTGAATAGAGTTGATGTGCACCTTCGCCCGCGGATCGGTGAACTCCGAATTGAAGTAAAAGACGTCGTTATCGTTCACGTCCTTCCCTGCCGGACGCTTCTTCAACACCTTCTTGTTCGCACATGCCAGACTCTGCAACGTCCGCTTCAGCTCCCCGTCGTCTATTTTGGAACTCACGTCAGTATCTCATAACAATCGTGAAAATTAACCGATACTTGCCCATACGCGTCTCCTCTAGGATGTATCTATACCCGATCTCTGTCTCCTTGTTGAAGAGAAGTAGCACGACAGCTTGGTATAAGCTGACTGTGAGGTCTTTAGGACCAGCCGCAAACCGCGCCTTTACCGTAGCTGTCCCAAGCGAATGATCCCAATCGAGTTTATGCCCCTGATGTTTGATCTTGTAAAAAGTTGTGTAATGATTCAGATCTGCTTGCATCTAGTCATTGTCATGAGCTCACGCGAACACCGGAAACCGTATCGCTCACCGAAGAAGGCAAGTCCACATCTTTCTCTCGTGCAAGGAACGGCCAGACGCTGCGTTGCAAAACCATGACAGAGAGTTTATTTGCGGAGCTGTCATCCCTGATACGAGCGTGATACTCCCGCATGATATCTCGCGAAAGCGCAAGGTCGTTGAACATATGATCTCCCATCCCAAACTCTGGATCATATTCTGCCCACCAATGATCAGCACGCGACTTCAAAAACAAAAGGTACCCTATCACATACTCTCTTTGAGTTTCTTGAGCATGGCCTTCTCAAAATCATCAGATGCACTGCGTTCCAGCAACAATCTCTTCGCTAGCGCCCGATGATAAAACGTTCTAAACACATCCTTATCATCCGTAAACCTATAGAGAGCAAGAGCAGCATCCAGCAATGCCTCAAACGCAGCATCCGATATGCCCCGCTGTCCATGGCGCATAAGTCTATCGACATGCTTCGCAATCTGCTCGGCAGGCTTATTGCGCCGCGCCTTGAACCCCTTGGTGAACGCATCGATGAGCCCATAGGAAAAGTCTTGGTTGTTTTGCTTAGTGGAGGGATCGATGAATGCTTCCTTTAGTGTTGTATCTGCAAAGGACTTGAACTCGAGGAGACGGTTGACCATCTCGTCGTCCTTGGATGCATCTTTCACGAGATCTTGAACTGTTTTCTAGAGCATGAATATATCAGCGCGAGTTTGGGGAAAGAGATGGTGAGACACCCACCTGGACATAGGCCTTGAACTCCCGGCAAAGCACGGGCAGGCCGTCTACCGATGAAAACAGCGCATACGCTTTCTTCAAGTCAGCAGTGCCCTTGCATTCCATGAAGACTGCACAATGTCAGCACGACGACTCCATGAACCCAGTCACACTAACCTTCTTTAGCCATCCACTCTAGCCTCCCCTCAAACAGCGCCCGAATAGCGGCATCCTTTACAAGCGCAATCGTACCATCGAGCATCACATCCCTTGCTCTACCCTGCTCCTCATTCGTCCGCTGGTTGCAGTGGGCAAGGAATACCTTCGCCTTGGCTTTCTCGACCTCGACCATCTGATACGACTCTTTTGAGAAGTACTCCCGAGTCTGCTCGACGAAGTGTCGCTCGAAGATGGCATCGTAAACGTGGTGTGTGATGAGGTGGGAGACGAGCTCTTTAAGGAAGGGGCGGTGGATGTGTACCTGTCTGGTTGATGGGTGAGTGTTGTGTATAGGCAGACGAATGGAATGAACATCGAAGAACGTACCCTTCGTTCCTCTCCCATGTGACCCATGTGGAGATGCCTTTCTGAAGCTTTTCCACGATGAAATAACCGCTAAATATGCGCTCTCTGAAACGAGTGAATGCGAGGTCGCTGAAGTTCTGAGCGTCAGCACGTGCAAAGGGTTCTCATGAAGGAAAACTCACTGAATAGAAGGAAGACTAGGATTCTTGAGCACATAAGCACGATCGAAGTAGGTAAGGAGTGATTCCAGCAGTGCCTTGACATGAATCCGTGAATCAATAACTTGGCGAATCCCAAAACTCATTGTATGTCACTCACCACTTGTCCCTCAAACCATGCACACGTCTCGACGAAATGTCCGATCCACTCTACACCCTCCTTATTGGTTTTCTCAAGCTCTTCCGCCAGCCGATTGACGCATCTATGGATTTCGGCTTTCAACATCTCATACAAGCCCTCGCCCCTCCCAGCAACACACACGACGCCCCGGCATGCGGTGTAGACACCCTCGTACGTCGTATTCAACTCATTAGATCCTTTCTCCAAGAGTGCCCTGATGCTGCGAGATAATCGCACAAACAAGTTATCGGAAACCTTGTTCAACGCAGATCCGACGACACCGCCTACAATGCCCACCATCCTCCCATGAGCGCCACACCTCTAGAACAAAATGGAATGCAAACCTGAAAAACCGTGGACCTGAATCCTTACTGGGCCACCTCTGTCGACATTCTTGCCTTTAACACTATCGCGCGACCTGGATGCAGAACCGGAGTCAGAGTCGGCGTCCAAGCGTGGGGTTTTGCGTGGATGAGATGCCGACTGATTATCGACGTCGATTACTGTGGACCGGTAAGCTGTAAATGCCTTGGATGTGTCTGAAAATGTGAGCAAGCTGATCACATCGGTCATCTCGCAATTGATTCTAGTTTGAAAGTTAGTACTTCGGAAGCCTTATTATGTAAACTTGCTAATTGACATTCCCAAAGACTGCTGCCGCTTAGTTATGCCTTAGGGATGCGCGCCGACGCCCAGTGGCTAGTCACTGTGTTGGGTTTCCAAAATATATACGGCGAGGCTGTCTCTCAAACATAATTGAAAATACATATCAATCATACGGTACCATGGCGAAACTCCGAAATCCAAGCAGCATTCTTCCTGCAATACACCAATGCCAAAATATCAATGTCATGGCTGAGTATTCCCATACTACACATCGCTATTAGTCGACACGGGTGTGCGCTCCTGGAATGCAATCGTAGTCATGGCAGTTGCTCCGTCGGAGTCGTCCACAAGTCTAGTGCTATGTTCTCGAACGCTGAGGATGAGACGCGGTCCCAGCAAAAACATCTGCAAGAGCGAGGAAAGTAGCACAACCCCATGATAAAGCGCATCTTCCGCGGAAATTCCGTTCTGCACAATTGAGGAGCAGTCAGATGGATATGAGTCAGTAGCGGATGGACCCACCCGGAGATTTGGAGAGAGCAAGCTCATGTAGAGGGCAGCAACGGCAACAAAGCTAAGACGTGCAGAAATTCAGCGTTAAGACAACAAATCGCTCATGTTACGAGCTCACCTTGCAAAGTAAAATACGTGACTTTTTATTAACACCGTGAAACAGTCCTCAATAATCAATCCTGTCGATGGTCGTTCGCGGAAATGCTTGATAGCAATACGGACGGAAAGATACAACACGAGAGCTTCCCATACAGTGCCGAGTATCCAAGTGATGGCTGATAAAAGGAAGCTATCTCCCTCGTAACTGCACTGATAAGCACCAGAGAGGACGAGCTCCTCTGTTATTTGTCTTGTGAGTCTGACACTCTGAAATCCTTCTTGCATTACCAAATCTTACCTCCTGTAAGATGTATACTTCGTATTACCGTAATTACTCCGCTGGTGATCGTCACGGTAAGGAAGAATACAACAAGAAAGATGAGCATCTTTCTCGATCGCTGATACATGGCATGCAACCGAGTAATCATGATCACTAGCATGATATTTCAGCAAAATTAATAGCATTAGTGATATATTGAAGCAGAGTAGCTTACCGCCCAGGATGATGTTTGCGATGGTAAATATACACCATTGTTCGAAATTGAAAAAAATGCCTGAAAAAGACAATCAGCAATGAGCACTATAGGGGACCAAGTCCAATCTCACAGCTGTTCAGATGTTACATTCGATCAAAAATATCGAGAATGTCACTCGCCCCTACATGAATCGTGAGTTGGACGGTAATGGCACATATTGCTCGTATTACTCACACCATCTGTCACGTAGACTGTCGGGATATTTGCTACATACCACAGTTTGGTACATGTGAGAAGACACGAAGAATGGGAGACACACCCGGCATATCGAGGCTGGTTACGAGAGATGGCTATTAGTACAGTGCCAATGTGTTGGCCTTGCAAACTTACACAGCGTATATTATTCCACCATAGCGCAACTGGAATGTTGTGAGGTAAGCGCACTTGCCAATTGTAACTCGGTAAGGTACGTGCAGCGAGATATAAGACACTCATGACAGAACAACGTCGCTTCTATTTCGAGTTCGTATCGAAAATCATCCAGTTGTCCTTGGACTTCTAACATAGTAGTATTGCGCTCACCCAGACTAGTTCAACCTGCAAACCCGTTAGTGATGAGACAGCAGCTCTGGCAATGACATCAACCTACCTCTCGTTCGAATGTCAGAGCTTGGGAGTAGCACATAAACATCAGGAACTTCTTCAACAACTAGTAACCTGTGTCCTGCTTACCCCAATCGTATATCACCACAACTGTGGATGCAACTGTGGAACCAATTACTAAAAAGTCGATGATATAACCAACAGCAACCGGCTTGCTTCACGAACCTACATAATAGCTTTCCATGAGATCAAATTCGATATACGGCCGCATGTTGGGACTATTCGAGACTAGGGTCATGTTGAAGGGTGAGTGAATAGCGAACTCAAGTAGTGAGTACTAATACGTACTATATAGTAGTACATCGTGGGGCCAGACTTGATTGAATTTAGACTGTGGCGATGCGTTTCAAGAACAGATTTATCCGCGATTGCAATTTGCAACGACTGTCGCCGTTCTAACACTGCTCTAAATTTTTCCGACATCAGAACGTTTGAGATATGTTCATGAGAGATATAAATGTTGTACTAGTACATAGCGTAACAGGAGGAGTGAGCTTTTGTTCGGAGTTGTAAATTTAGCACCATTCGGCAAATCGGCCAACACCTGCACACGAATGGCCGCTCTCGCACCGGATACAAATGGACCTTCAATGAAGGTCCACCTGATCCCCCTGCCACATGCCCTCGTCTCGAGATTCCTCCTGCTTCAGCTTAATAATCTCTCGTGCAGAGTATACGAATGCGAAGGTATTTACTAGTGCTGCAATAACAGTTTCAGTCTTGTTCAACTTCGGAGGCCTCATTATGTAAACACATTCCCGAAGATAAACGCTTAAACAGTTATGCCTTATAATTAGGGATGTGCGCGGACGCCTTGGCCAGTCACATTTACTACACGTGTTGGGTTTCCCAAATATACGGGGAGGCTATTTCTCAAACATAATTGAAAATACATATCAATCATACGGTATCATGGCGAAACTTCGAAATCCAAGCAGCATTCTCAACCTCCCTGCAATACACCCATGCCAAGATATCAATGTCATGGAGTATTTCCCATACTACACACCGCTATTAGTCGACACGGGTGTGCGCTCCTGGAATGCAATCGTAGTCATGGCAGTTGCTCCGTCGGAGTCATCCACAAGCCTAGTGCTGTGTTCTCGAACGCTGAGGATGAGACGCGGTCCCAACAAAAACATCTGCAAGAGCGAGGAAAGTAGCATAACAGCGTGATAAAGCACATCTCCCGCGGAAACTCCGTTCTGCACAATCGAGGAGCAGTCAGATGGATGAGTCAGTAGGGGATGGACCCACCCGGAGACTTGGAGAGAGTGAGCTCATGTAGAGGGAAGCAACAGCAAGAAAGCTAACATGCAGAACTTCAGCGTTAAAACAACGATAAGTCGCTCATGTTTCGAGCTCACCTTGCAAAGTAAAATACATGACTTTTTATTAACACCGTGAAACAGTCCTCGATGATCGATCCTGTCGATAGTCGTTCGCGGAAATGCTTGATAGCAATACGGACTGAAAGATATAACGCGAGGGCTTCCCATACAGTGCCGAGTATCCAAGTTATGGCTGATAGAAGAAAGCTATTTTCCCAGTCTTCACACTGATGAGTACCAGAGAGGACGACCTCCTCTGTTATTTGTCTTGTGAGTCTGACACTCTGAAATCCTTCGTGCGTTACCGAAGCCTACCTGCTGTAAGATGTGTGTTTTGTGTTACCGTGATTACTCCGCTAGTAATCGTCAAGGCAAGGAAGAATACAACGAGAAAGATGAGCATCTTTCTCGATCGCTGATACATGGCATGCAACCGAGCAATCATGATCACTTGTATGATATTTCAGCCAAGTTAATAATAGTGGTGTACTAAAGCTAAGTAGCTCACCGCCCAGGATGATGTTTGCGATGGTGAATACCCACTCTTGATTGAATACGAAAAAAATGCCTGAAAAAGACAATCAGCAATGAGCATTATATGGGACTAAGTCCAATCTCACAGCTGTTCAAATGTTACATTTGATTAACAATATTGAGAATGTCACTCACCCCTACATGAGAGAATCGTGAGTTGGACGGTAATGAGACGTATTGCTCGTATTGCTCACAGCATCTGTCAAGTAGACTGTCGTGATACTTGCTACATGCCACAGTTCGGTATATGTGCGAAGACACGAAGAGTCGGAGAGACACACCTGGTATATCGAGGCTGGTTACGAGAGATGGCTTATTAGTGCAGCCCGAGTGCCAACGTGTTGGCCTTGCAAACCTACATAGCATATATTATTCCACCATAGCGCAACTGGAATGTCGTAAGGTAAGCGCACTTGCCAATTGAAACTTGGTATTACAGGTACGTACAGTGAGATATAAGACACTCATGACGGACCAGCGTCGCTTCTATTTCGAATCCATATCGAAAATCATCCAGTTGTCCTTGGACTTCTAACATAGTACCGCGCTCACCCAGACTAGTTCAACCTACAAAACCGTTAGTGATGAGAGGGCAGCTCTGGTAATGACATCAACCTACCTCTTGTTCGAATGTCAGAACTTGGGAATAGCATAGAAACATCAGGAACTCCTTCAGCAACTGGTAACCCATGTCCTGCTTACCCCAATCGTATATCACCACAACAGTGGACGCAGCTGTGGAACCAATTACTGAAAAGTCGATGACAGAGCCCACAACAACCAGCTTGCTTCACGAACCTGCACAATAGCTTTCCATGCGATGAAAATTGATATCAGGCCACATGTTGGGACTATTTGAGACTAGGGTCATACTGAAGGGAGCAGTGGGGGTCAGTGAGTGGCGAACTTGAGTACCCGAATAGTGAGTACTAATACTCGTAGATATAGTACATCGCGGGGCCTGACTTGATTGAACTTAGGCTGTGGCGATATAAACACCGCGTTTCAAAAACCTGTTTATGGATTGCACGTACGACAATATCGAGAGCTTCTTGTAATTTGCGGCTGGCACGGATCAGGGAAATGCTGTAAGATCGTTTCATAAACTTTGCATAATAGCTACCATCCCGATAAATTTGGTTTGACAACAACGACCTGGGGTCGTTTGAGAACACCGTTCCATTTGAGGGATAGTGTCGGTGTGTGGCGAAGTCTTGGTGGACTTCTAATGATGCTGTCCTATGATTGGAGCATCCAGGACTCGAATCGGCTGTGCATGCAGTGAGTTTATTGTTGTATGAAATCAAGGTGAAGTCACTGGCCTATCAATACTGTCTCAAAAAGCTATTCGTGTTGCAGCTCGCTGTCAGGGATATCAGGACTCGAGTTTTTTCCAAGGCGTCAGCGGAATGATCAATTCATTACCAATGTGACAGGCCTAGATTGACCAGGCTCCTCCGAGTCCCACCGCCAGAAACGTTGACAGCAGAGACTTAGAACATCATAGGAATTCTACAATCGAATTTTACTTAATCGAATTAGATGATGATGACCGGTAGCCCTCGGAGTCTGGGGCATGGCCGCAACTTGGCAAGGCTTGATAAATGAAGCTTATCCTCGAAAGAAAGATTCTGATTCACTCTTTGGCCTGCCAGTAGGCTGTCGAAAACGGTTCGATTTGGTGGTAACCTCTGGACCAGGTAGCAGACAGCCTAAGCGAAACCAACGTCAAGATAATGCTAGGTCGACCACTTGAGGAAACTATGTCGTCTTCTTGAGATAGTACTGCACAGTGAATAGCTAAGGCGGATTATAGGGAAAGTATTTTTTAATCTCCGTGGACGAATCCGATCGCGAGTAATCATAACATTCATTCCAAAGATACGTGAGCAGGCAAAGAATTTTATCATCAAGGATTATTCAGTAAATACAAGATGGCGTAGAGCAGGCAGTGCGAGTCAGGAAAACAAGTAATACAGATATCTGAGTCAAGCATGATTAGCAAACTGAAGAAGTTATTCGGTCTCTCAAAGTCGAAATTCGTTTCACTGTCAGCATCATGTTTGACAATGATGACTGGGACGTGGGTTATGATGAGATTAGTGGTGAGCCACGGAAAGTGGTCCTTGTTGATGGTATCGTGGTAGCGTGAGTCCCGCGAAACATTCTGATGGTCATGGATATCGTTGTGTCATGGTGGTGAATGCTGGCTGTCGTGAGTGTCGTGAAATGGTGTTTGTCTGAGTGTCAAGGGTGGTCTTGCTTGCCAGTGGCGTGGCGTTAGTATCGGATGCATGCCATACTCTTCTGGTCAGCTTGTCGCCTATGTTGAGCAAGCCTGAAATGTCGTGAACCGTGGTGATAGGCGTTGTCCGTCGTAAGTATCGCGAAATTGAGTGTTGTGAGTGGTCTTGCTTGGTGGTGCCGTGGCATTAGTATCGTGATGCATGTCATTAAATGGTCGTGATGGTGTCGTACTCTTCTCGTCAGTTTGTGGCCTGTGTTGAGCAAGTCTGGAATGTCGTGAACCGTGGTGATAGGCGTTGTCTGTCGTAAATATCGTGAAATGGTCTGTCTGAGCGTCGTTCATGAGAGCGGTCTCGCTTGATAGTGTCATAGTGTCAGTATCATGATGCATGTCACGATGGCGTCGTATTTTCTCGTTGGTATGTGGCCTGTGGCCTTGGCGGGCTATCGCAGTGTTTGTTGTCAGTAGGCGGTAGTTGTCAGCGTTGTAAGTATTAGTGAAGCCGCAGCGGAGGGGCGTAAAATGTTGGAGGTGTCAGCAAGTGTCTCGCCGGGGTAACAAAGGTGGAAAAGTGGTGGTAGCTGGAATCGTGGCGACGACTGCATTTGTTCGATGGCGAAGTGACGCAAGACGGGCCTTGGTTCGCGAACCAGGCTCTAAAACATAAAATGGATCGAATTTAAGAGGGAGCTGTAATCCTGACGACTTCCGGTGGTTGCCAACCAGCATCGAGGTGAGCCCCACCTCCGCCATGGCAGTGACCCAGCCGTCCATGAGGGATGATTGATCGACACAAATCTGTTTGCAGACTTGCGCAAGATGGCCGACTAGTAGTACCGAAATCAATAAGCAATTACAGTACGAAAAGGAATGACCGACCGATCCTGTGGGCGTGTCGCTGGAGGCGAGAACGCACGATGCTGTGGCAAGCAGAGTTCATTCGCAAAGGTCTAGCAGGTTTGTGCTAACGAAGTATGATGAGTGACATGCCAAGCCTGACGATGGATATGCCCGTACCTTCTGCTGCTTCAGTTTATATGGGCGCGACTTCTGGGGAAGCGCTGTGAGAGGTAGAGGGATGAGTCTACCAGCGGCGTATTTAGTAACGAGGATCAGGGGCTTTAGCCAGGAGGCAGCAGCCATGGTCTTGTGAGCTAGCACGTTAGTGGGTCGGGCGGATCCAGAAGGGTTAGTGTCAGTTTTCGTAAACAGCGACATTGGGAAGCCATCAAGTGGAGCAAGCGGCCGAAAGTTTGGCGAATGAGAGGGAACATTGCGGATAGCGAGAGCATTTTTGATGACGAGATCATTATCGGCGATGAGAGCTGGCATGCATGGGGCCAGGGTGTCGATGTGGTGTTCGACGTCTTTGGTGTCTAATGCTTCGTCAGTGCCAGTGAAGACGCCCTCCAAGTGTACGAAGTCATCCTTGGGGACTACGGATGGACTGCTGTGGAGGGAATTTGTCGTCTGAGGCAAGCCATCCGTGAGGTGTACGGATCCAGGAACCGAATGGCTAGTAGTACACGTAGGCATTGTCTGGCATTTGTCGACTAGTAGGACAAGTGGCCTAATGCACGGCGTACAGAAGAGGCTAATAATGTCGATAGTTGTGCTTGGGTCTGGGACATCAACGCGGACATTATCTATAGCGTGCGCTGGTACTCGCACCCCAGGCTGTGGTATAGTATAGTTGTCCTGGAGTGATCCAAATGTTAGGCAATGACAAGTTAGATATGATACTCCGTACCTTGTCAGAGAAGATGTCCTTTGAGTCATCATCGCAGGCTACAAGGGTGGTATCTGATGTGATAGACAGGCGCTTACAATTGCCGAAATGTGACAAATCGAGGGTAGTAGTGATGTCGTTGGGCGTTGATCTGAATACAGGTGACGATGACAATAAAAATAGTAGCAAGATATCCTTCAAGCGATCGTCGTTGCAGGCTACCAGGGCAGTATTTGATGTGATCGAGAGGTCAAGAGTAGTGATGTTCTGCGACATTGTCGATCTGAATACAGGTGACGATGACAATGAAGATGGTAGCAAGACGTCATCCGAGTGGTCGTCGTCGCAGGCTACAAGGATATTATCTGATGTGATGGAGAAGCGCTTACAATTGTCGAAATACGGTAAATCCGGAGTAGTAATGTCGTTGGGCATTGTTGATATAGATACAGGTGACGATGTCAATGAAGATGGTAGCGAGACGTCCTTCAAGCGATCGTCGTCACAGGCTACAAGGGTAGTATTTGATGTGATGGAGAGGCGCTTACAGTTGCCTGAGTATGACAAATCGAAAGTAGTTATGTTGTGTGACATTGTCGATCTGAATACAGGTGACGATGGCAATGAAGATGAAGATGACCGTAGAAAAGACCTCCTGGCTGGAACTGGCAACACGAAATTGGCGGTTGGGTGACGACCCGGAGTACCTTGATGTAACCTGCACGTTGGGCACGTCGTTCCCAGCAGCCTTGGTGTTGCATCGGGAACGTGCCCGCCAGTGGAGGATGCGGTATCGTTGCTCAGATATATTGAAGCGGCCTCGTCGGCGGCTAGGATCAAGATAATTGTCGACTTGAATGCCGACACGACGAGGCCGGCGGTGCCCTTCCTTGGTCCAGATCGGATTGGACGGAGAACCGTTTCCTCGAAGAACGATACCGAGATTAAGGCCGTGATGGTGAAACGTGAAGCAACGTAGAAGGTAGTAGAAATCATGATGTTGGCGGAATATCGTTGAATGCGGGGTATGCTGGTAAGATATTCGACGAGGCGCCGATTCCACGATATCCCGCGATATTTATAATGGTTACGAATATTTGTGCGTGCTTGCCTAGATAAACACGACGCGTCAGTCACGTGTTGAAAATCAACCTATGTTTGCAGTGACCGGCGTACGTGCAACAAAACATTTGAATACCTTTCCAAAAGATGACACAATGGTTTTTTGGCCTAGCTTGGACAACGCACGCATCATCTCAAGCTTCAAGCTTCAAGACTTGCTGTCCATTCTACATAACCCATCCGCTGGTGTTAGGCCGCTTACTGTTTGCATTCAAGTTCGAGGAGCTCCGAGGTTATAGATAACGGACACATCATGTACCTTCCAGTATAACTTACAAGGTATGGCCTTACATATGACCTTTTTCGTGGACTCATCACCTTATATCATCCCGCAAAATATCCTTATTCCCCGTTGAGGATTCAGAATTGAGGCCATTCACAGACGTACTTTCCTTTCGTCACGAAACCTATTGGTCGACGAATTCAACGATCAAATTCTAGGCACTCGAGCTACCTGGTGACTACCGTGAGTGTAGAATGATGGTGCATTGAATGAAATGCTAAAAGATTCGCAGATTGCTATTACATCTTAAAAGAAGCAGACCACGCACCCATTGACGCGCCTGGATAAACACTAGGGTACTTGGCAATGTTTACTGCGTCCGGAATCCCTCGTCATCGACTGGATCTAGAAATAAATTGCGTGTGCGCGATTCAACGCAACATCTGGGTCGAAAAGGGAAAGGGCTTGGTGAGAACTGTACGAGTCCGATAACAGCTCTACGTCGTCGATTCTCGAAGCGCAATTGCTCAACAATCTCGAGAACCGCTGCATTCCACGTATTGCGTTTTCTTTTATTCCTACCGCTCCAGTTGGACAGTGAATTGCAAACAATTTCCTTTGCAACTAGCTTGCGCGATTATTTTCAATGGCTGCCAGCCTATGTCTCTCTCGCACAGTTCTCAATCTTACAACAAATCCTTTTACTCGTGGTCAACTGTATACTGCACTATCCCGAGTCAAAAGCCGTCGAGATACGTTATGCTCATTTGCAGGAGGAAATGATAAGAAAGACAGCGCAAATATAGTCTGCAAAAGTCTGCTTGTGTAATAAAGCGACCGCTTGTATAGAATATGATAATATTGTCAACGACAGCGATCTGGACAGCCCGCGTACAGCTTGATCTATATTCTCGTTACCCTCGATATCCAGCATAATATTTGTCACGATGGTGCGTGTGTATACCAGATTTGAAGCATGATTGAATGTGTATGGAAACATATGGCGAGGCGATTTCACAAACATAATTGAAAAAAAAAACATATCAATCAGTACCATGACGCAACTCCTAAATCCAAACAGCATTCTGAACCTCCCTACAATACACCAACGCCAGGATATCAATATCTTGCCATACTACACACCACCACCAGTCGACACGACTGCACTCTCCTGGAAAGCAAGTGTAGCCATGCCAGTTGCTTCGTCGAAGTCATGCACGAGCCTAGTGCTGTGTTCTCGGACGCTGAGGACGAGGCGCGGTCCCAGTATAAACATCTGCAAGAGTGCGGAAAGTAGCGCAACAGCGTAATAAAGCTCAGCTCCTGCAGAACTTCCGCTCTGCACAATCGACTCGGAGGAGCAGTCAGATGGATGCGAGTCAGTAACGGATGGGCCTACCGGTAAATTTGGAGAGATGAAGCTAATGCGGAAGGAAGCAACGGCAGCAAAGCTAGAACATACAGAACATCAACGTTAAAACGATAAGTCGCTCAAGTCACGAGCTCACCTTGCAAAGTAAAATACATGACTTTTTATTAACACCATGAAACAGTCTTCGATAATCGATCCTGTCGATAGTCGTTCACGGAAATGCTTTATAGCAATCCTGACTGAAAGATACAACGCGAGAATTTCCCATACAGTGCCGAGCATCCAAGTGATGGCTGATAGAGGAGGGCTAGTTCCCTCGTAATCGCACTGATAAATACCGGAGAGGATGAGCTCCTCTGTTATTTGTCTTGTGAGCCTAACCTTTCTGAAGCCCTTCGTGCATTACCGAAGCCTACCTGCTGTAAGATGTGTGATTTGTATTACAAAAATTACTCCGCTGGTGATCGCCAAGGAAAGGAAGAATACAACGAGGAAGATGAGCATTTTTCTCGATCGCTGATACATGGCATGCAACCGAAAAATCATGATCACTAGCATGATATTTCAGCCAAGCTAATAATAGCGGTGTACCAAAGCTAAGTAGCTCACCGCCCAGGATAATGTTTGCGATGTAAAACATCAACCATTGTTGGAAAACGAAAAAAGTGCCTGAAAAAGACAATCAGCAATGAGCATTATCATTATAGGGGACCAAGTCCAATCTCACAGCTGTTCAGATGTTACATTTGATCAACGATATATCGAGAATGTCACTCACCCCTACATGAGAGAATTGTGAGTTGGACGGTAATGGGACGCATTGCTCGGATTACTCGGATTACTCACAGCATCTGTCACGTGGAGTGTCGTGATACTTGCTACATGCCACAGTTTGGTATATGTACGAAGACACAAAGAGTTGGAGAGACACACCCGGTACATCGAGGCTGGTTACGAGAGATGGCTTATTAGTACAGTGCTATCGTGTTGGCCTTACAAACGTACACAGCGTATATTATTCCACAATAGCGCAACTGGAATGTCGTAAGGTAAGCGCACTTGCCAATTGTAACTTGGTAAGGTACGTACAATGAGATATAAGACACTCATGACGGACCAGCGTCGCTTCTATTTCGAATTCACATCGAAAATCACTCAGTTGCCCTTGGACTTCTAACATAGTACTATACTCACCCAAACCAGTTCAACCTACAAAACCAACCATTAGTGATGAGACGGCGGCTCTGGCAATGGCATCAACCTACCTCTTGATCGAACGTCAGTACTTAGGAGTAGCATGGAAACATCAGCAACTTCCTTGGTAATTAGTGGCAACCCATGTCCTGCTCACCCCAATCGTATATCACCGCAACAGTGGACACAACTGCGGAACCAAATTATTAAAAAGTCGATGATAGAACCAACATCAACCGGCTTGCTTCACGAACCTGTATAATAGCTTTCAGCGCGATCAAATTCGATAGACGGCCACATGGTGGGACTATTTGAGACTACGGTCATACTGAAGGAAAGTGGGGTCGGTGAATGGCGAACTTGAGTACTTGAATGGTGAGTAACTCGTAGATAAAGATTTCGTGGCCCGACTTGATTGAATTCTGGCCGGTTTCCACTGTGGGTGCGATAATGATAAACGCCGCGTTTGAACTATTCATCCTGTCTCGTCAGCAATCGTACAATCCCTTCTACCGCGCCGCTTAATCGGCACCTACAGAAGTCGGCAGAAATGCAAATGTTACGATATGTTACATAGGCCGGTTTCAAAATCAACTGAGCAGTCAAGCTGCTAGCAAGAGGGCAAAGGAGTCAGTTAGTAGTATTCGGTGTGAATGAGCAAATGCAGTATTTACTACTAATTGATATGAGATGTGCCCAAGTACGAAAGTGACCCACTAGTTCTGTAAGCTCGCAGCTTTCCTCATCTATCGCTGCTAGACTTGAGATCTTGAGAATGCAGACCGTCCAGCGGCTATGGCCGTAACAGGAAACCTTGATGAAACCCCATGCGTCAGTCACGTGTTGAAAAATCAACCTACATATGAATCACTGATGCACACAACCAAGTACCAACGGTCAGTTCGAACTTAAGCTTGACCTCCTTCCGCCCACGAAACCCAGGAGCAGTCGAATGATCGAATGCGGTTGTTATGTTGGTCACAGCTACACTCGATCAGTCGCAACCTTCATATGACTCACCTTTAACTTTCGTCTTTTTTTCGGTCATGACCCAACGGCGGCACGACTATGGAAAGTTAAAAATGCGGTTGACAGTGATTGTTGTTTACTTTCCTCATACACAGACTGATTAGCTTGTTGTGTCAAATGTAGAATTTTGCCCCACTTTGAAGTCGCTGACTCAAGCTATCTCGGAATAAACGCCACATTCGAGTTGTGAGAGACTCATGCTTGTCTCGATACGAGCCTCCCAGCCGGTCCACCCTGCCCTACCCCATCGAAGGTCTTCCTTGTTAAGCGATGGACAGGTATAACCAAGGTGTAGCGTTGTTCTCGAGCGCTAAGCTATATTGTTCGTTTCCAGCACGTGAAGAATTAGTGGTTTCTAATATGGAGTTGATTCGTCTTGAACGACGCGATACAACAACCATCGCAACTAGATGTCTCGTTTCGAGATCAGATCCCTGTTCTTGTTCTCAGTACGTAGTTATCAGTGTCACTTGCAACAAAATGGTTAAATACCTTCCAAAAGACGATGGTTCTGCGGCCTAGGCCCTAGTTCGGACAATGCACACATAGTCTCGGGTACACAGCACCTCCAAAAGACTAGATGCCATTTTGACAGATCCGCTGGTGTTATATTTACATTCGAGGAGCTCGTCGAAGCTAACCAAAACGGACACATCAATTCGTGGCTGTTCGTTTCAGTATTACTTACGAGGTAAGCTGTCTATGGCTTGACCTTGTGACAGCATCTGGAAAAACTGTTCAAGGTTATTGGAAGCAGATTGCACGCAAACCTGCATACCGGTGGTACCTGTCATTGATGGCCGAGGCCTTACCAACGCTATGGATCTGCCGGCGTATAGAGTCATACGCAGCACAAGTACATCATCATCACGACTCATGGCTGCCCTTGATAATCTATTCACCATCTACAAATTGCAATACAAACATGGCACAAGTGCGCGATCGGTGTATTCGTCCCATCGAGCTTTTCAAGTGCCGACACTTTCTTGCGGCTGATGGGCGTAGCATGCGACGGTGGACGATCAAATATAGTCACTAGCCCCGGACGTAACCCTATGCAAGATCTTAAATTTTCATTGATCTGACGAGGGGGCTAGCCTCAGGCCCTCAGCCATGAAAAGTAACCTCTCTAAAGGAGACTTGTTGCAACCATAATAATGTTATGCACAACGTTGACATGATATATCATATCATATCATGGGGTGTTGTGAAGTAGCTCTGTTTCAAGGTACACCTTACATATATCCTTTTTCGTAGACTCATCACCTTGTATCATCCCGCAAAATATCCCTATCCCCTATTGAGAATTCAGAATTGCGTCCATTCTATGACAGCCCCTCACTCGGCCCGATACCCAAACAGCAGTGCGCACTGCGGACTCACTGAGGCTGCGGACTCTGGGTGGTCTTGCCAAGCAGATGGTGGTGCATCTCCGGCACTCGCATCTGATCATCGGAAGTTGACAGGGACTACATCGCTGCATGGGGTCGTTAACAAGTCTTTTGGCCGCAATCTTCCAAGGAAACACGTACGTATAGAATACAATAATATAATATCGTCAACGACGGCGATCTGAACAGCCCGCGTACAGCCTGATCCATATTCTTGACACCCTCGATATTCAGCGCATTGTTTGTTACGATGGTACGGCGCGTTCATCAGATTCGAAGCATATAATTGAATGTGTACGGAATATATGCGTTCGCACTTGATCCCAGACTGCAAAGTGGCGTGATCATCGATTCGATGCATGAAACGTTCAAAGATAAGTTCCATCTATATTCAGATCTGTGCTCATCTAGATATCCAGAGCAATATCCGAGTCCTGCGAGATCATCAGGCGGCCGCACTCTCCGAAATAGTGTGGAGTATCTATCTGCATGACCAATTCACTCGTAAGCATCCTGATCATGAGAGTGAATTAAAGCTAGTGTCTGTAGAAAGTACCGTGAATTCACTGTCGTCCATATCTACGTTTGCGTAATAGTCCTTTTCAAAGTCCTCAATAGCCTTCAGATGTTGGTGGATAAGCCCTTCGCGCGCCACCATAGCCTCCTTGTCCGTAACCACCCTGGGCACCATATGCTTGCTTGCCGCCGTAATACTGGGTACCACTAACACCGCCGACAAGGCTCGCAGCTCCAGCATGGTAGCTTGATGCGTCTTCCTCGTAGTCTGTACCAGGAGTTGTGGCTGAAGCCGTGAGAAGCGGGTCCTTGACTTCCCAAACCGCAGCTTTAGATCCAACGGAGAACTCGAGGTCTTCACGCTGTGTAAAACATTATATAAGGATACGTGAAACGGATAACCGGCAAACAAACGCACCGTGATACTGTCCCAGTATTTGTAGACCATCATAACACTCAACAAAACACACAGAGTGAAGAAGAACAGGCCATCCAAGTAATGCTTGATAGCGTCACAGATGGTGACGCTGAAAGCGAACAGAAGAACTTGAGCGATCGCGTAGAACGAGATTCCGAAGATGATGTCGCCCAGGGGCCAGCGGTCGTCAAGAGTCCGGAATACAAGGACGAGCTGTAATATAGTATATGTGGCGACGCACAGGATGGGCCAGATGAGGTAAATGACGAAGAGCGCGATAGGTTTTGTTGGGGAGAATGAAACAAAAGATTTGAAGGTGGCGATAGCAATGAAGAATGATGCTCCGAAGACGGCGAAACAGCATAGCCGAAGAAGCCAAAGAGAGAGAGGCGTCCCGTCTTCAGCGAATTGGAATCCAACGAAGCCGTTGATGAGCAGACAGCAGTAGGCAGCTGCTACTAGACCTGTATAGCCTGCAGCAAACCACTACGTACATTTGGTATAAGATCATCACATGATTTTGCATGATAACTCACCGGATAGCTGACGTTTGAAGTCGGTATGATTCCCGAGTCTAGGAACATTGCGAGAAGTTCGATGACCATGTACATCCAAAAGAACATCACAATCTCTTTTCGTCCCACTGCAGTGTACTTTGAGCGAATATGGTAGATCATAATTGCAGTCATGATTATTGCAACGATGTGGACAAAACATGTAGCTAAGCGGATGAAAATCAGCCTTGATCGGTGAGTACGCCACATTCATGGTCTTGGAATACATACAAGGCTGAAATATGAGGGTCTGGCCGATTTGAACGTTGCGCGAGTAGCAAGTAGGTTCTACGCCTTCTCCAGAGGTGCCCATCAATGGACAGATGACGAGAGCAGCAGTGCTGCACACTCCATCGAAGGAGCCGAACGTGATGGTCATGGCTCCGTCTAGATATGAGCAATTAAAGGGGTGTTGTGTGAGCGTTCGATAGGTGAATGTCGGGTGATATTTGGTGTATGCAGCGGCAGGGCCCTGGCCTGGTTACGTTCAACGTGCGTTGTGAAGAGATTGAACAAAAACGAGCGAAACGTGATTAGTTCAAACTATTCAAAGAGAATATCTGGCGAGTCTTCAGGTAACTGGCCTGCAAGTAAACCACCCGGCGGGTATTGTGTGAAAAGACAGAGAGCGGGCTCGTCGCCCTACGAGTATGTGAATGCGACGGACAACGACTGCAAGGTTGAATTGCGATCCCACGCCACTTCCGGACGAGTCAAGCATGCTTGGTCTCTCCCTAAACCCACCCACTACAGTAAATTAGAATCGACGACTTGTGCTCTGTGGTCCTTCTAGAACATGGCCTCGTCGATCAAAGGCAGCCGGTGCGCTCATTATATCTATCTACCTGAAATGAAGCCAATGGCACGACACGCCACTCTACTACTGGGCGAAGACTTCGGGTTTACCTTCGCCCCCTTGGCATGAACGTTTCAATTATTATGGCTCCTCAAGGCCTCAAGGACTTTACATCGAGGACACTTGGTTCTGATTACAATTTGACACCCTAAGTACAGCTGCTCAGAAGAGGACGCCGCGGCCTGCCTCCAGTCACTCCATTGCAAGGCAATTCCTGATTAGGTCTGATTAGGTGCGTTGCATATACGTACTTACTGCGAAATCATTGTATAGGACTGGGACGCCCTGGCTTATAGCCCCGCCCAAGACGGACTGTCAACGTTGTACGGTCCGGTTCTTGGATGGCCCTTTGCGGACTGAGGGTAACCGGTGACTGCAAGATCCGCGTTTTTTCTTACGAAACGTGCGCCTGTACACGTTGATATCTCCCACACGTAAATAACGGGTCGCCTACATATGTCTCACGATTTCGCCGCACTGTGGGCAGAATGTACGTGCACCGCTCAAACGCTGCATTACCTTTGTTCAACTGTTCTGATATCCTTAGTCTGAGCACCACGTGCCCCGCTATCAGAGTACCTATGCACGAACACGTGTATATAATTACTACAACGGTTCATAGTATTGGAACTCAGTTTCTCGAATCCATATGGCCTTCGTATTTTTACTTACTAGTATAGTCTGATGTGACTTCTGCGAACACCGGAACACTAAATATTAGTACTGACGACATCGCACATGCTGATCTATGTGGGAATTTCGGGAATACAGTGCGTCACCTTGACTATTCAGTTTGGAGCATAACAGAAGTATCTCCTTTGGGAGTAAGCCGTTAGTATCTGAAGACTATGGCTAACTGAGCCTTGAGTTGTGCGCCCACTCCCATGGATGGGGTAACGGCCTTGCTCGTGGCACGGTTCTCAAGGTCACAGGCGATTTGGTTCGGATCGTCTGTTTCAAATAAACGCACACACCGGCTGATATTCTTGGCAAGAAGTTTTCAACGCCGATAGCATGGCCAACAGCCGCGTTGGTGCAGAACCTTACTTGGTGGCGTTTTTGAGCGTTTTAGTTTCCTAACGTTTGACTACAGAGTTACAGTAGTACATACTAGTAGGTACTAGTTCGCATACTTACTAAGATACCTCCGTGGTTCTATCATCCAGAAATGAGCCCTGTCACTTGTTCGTTACCGCTAGATCAATGGCCACAGCCGAATATCAAAAGTGTCCTTTTCCTTGCGTTCATCAAATGTGTAATGACACCGCAGGGTCATGGACTCACGAGTTTGGGAAGGTTTGTTTATACTCAGATCCGGATGGCTTGGCTTGGCCATTTTGGTGTGCCACTATGGATAGCACCAATGGCAATGGCAACTTCTCGCTCGGAAACTTTTTACAGCGGAACCCATGTGCAGCCCGAAGCCGCGCATCCTTCACAAAGTCCATTTCGACCGATATTTCAAAATACGGGTCCACCCTCATTTCGCGGGCGAAATTCGACCAAGATGTCATTTTAGCGACAGTGAAATGCCTCGGTGATTATGGGTACAAGCGTAGGATCCATTTGGCTTGAACTGCGGAAAGTAGCGGCCAATATCGTTGTCAGCCAAACAGGGCCGATGATTGAACGTGGCATTGTCAAATGTCGATATGGTTTGTGTGATTTGCGTCCCGGGCAACTTGGCTACGGTCTGCTCGCCTCCATGGGCTGGATCACGCGTGACAGTCATACAGACATGTGCATGCGGCAGAGAAGACGCAAACTTGGGCCGGTGAGGCGGTTGCGTAGCGATAGTGCCATGGCTGTTTGCCAAAAAAGTGAAAGTTCATGGGGAGCGCCTATAAGTAGATTGCCGTTGATTCTGGACACTGACTCAGTACAGCAAACCCGCTGAAAGTCCATGATGCGGCGTTGAGTCCAAATCTTTATGTGTACGCCACTTTGTCCGCTTCGGGCGCATGGAAATCAGTAGTAATCGACTTGTACCAATTGATCATGGAATCAGGGAGATGGCGCCGTGCGGGGACTTGCTGTCTAATGGGTTTACCGGATCAAGTTACGTTCAATTAAGCCATCGCCTGCCGCTGCGGCTGGCTTGATATCGAAGAGAAGTGATATTAGCGTTTGACGAGTGCTTACTACTTACCAAGTTTGCTAACCGCCGCCCACTAGTACCTGCCACCTGCCTCAGCTTCATCAATCAAGCGAGAACGTATATGCTACATTAGCCAACTCACGCCCCAAATGTAAAACAGCCTTCCGTGACGAACAATTATTTGTACACTCACGTACCTTAGCCACAAGGTGTCAATAGTGAGAAAAGCCCGTGCACTGATCCCGTCTCCCTGTATCGTGTACTAAGTGGAACATGGTCGAATTCTCCTGAAACACTCCTGAGAGCCATCGCTAAGCTTATAATTACGGACAACAATGGGCGGCGTGGCCTGGCCTGGCCTGACGCGGCGATATCTTATATTAATAAAAATTATCTTATCTGTTTTTTTTTCTTCAGGTCAAGTACTCGTGGCTGTGCGCCACAAGGCACCCAATATGAAAACAATGCCTTTGTTGAGCCTTTGTAGTAATCTTATGATATTTCACTTTGGGCACGCGTGGTTGACCAAGAAGATTCGTATCGCTACTCGGGGCTTGCACTGTGAGTGTGCATGCCACGGCATGCTGTAGCTATCTTGGTGCTATCCATAAGTGATTTGAATCGGATGTTTTGTTGTGGAAACGGCATGGCATTAGCTGGCCCTTGATCAAAGGTGGTAAGTACTCCATGTCACATTGAACCTTGCAATATGATTATATATCATTTTCCTAGAAACAACCAAGGGGTTAATTCTGCCGCGAGCGTTTACCATGACATTCTGACATCCCAAGTAATTCACATCCATTTCAACCTCCACGTTACCGTAAGTTACCTCTGCCAGAACTTTTTTTTTTCATGGTTGAGGTGGACCCCCATTTTTAACACAAAGGGTAATTGGTGTGTCCAGGTTGTGCTGTGCCCGATCGACACAGCATCCGACTCAATCACGGGAGAAGGGGTGACTGTAAAATTAATAGAAATGACTGTTTTGGATGAACCAGGTCCGGAAAGTTACCGTCTTTGAAGGTAGTATAATCACTTTCCGAAGTCGCATGCCATTGCTATGGATCGTTGGTAGTTTCTCAGCAGAAATCTCACGTCACAGCAGAGCACCGCGGGCTTGATGAAAAACATGATCTTTGAACTTGGGTTCTTACCCATTGCAGTGTACTAATACCAACTGATTTTTAGAGTTGATTCTCGGTACAACAAATCTGATAGATGATTAGTGGTGATTACTCCACACAGGTTAGCTTAACAATGTAGACTTATGATTCAGATCGGCGACAAAGAGCACTGTACCGCAGGCTGTCATAATTATTTTACAAAAACACCGACTTTTAACGAAATTGCCGCGTGCCGAATTTAGTAATTTCTGCAAAAGAAGTGGAACAGGGGAAGTTCCGGGTTGGCAAACGCCAAGTCACGTGGGGCCGAGAAGGGGTGAAACCGAGATCATGGCTGAACAAAGGAGACGATGGAGTCGAGTTGACCGCGGTCTGTAAATTTTTATAGTGAGGAGTTCTGGAAGTTGACAAAAGCGGTAACGAAGTGAGGTGGTCATGTGACTATGAACTACTAAAATAGGAAACTGGTTAGTGGTAAGGCTATGGGGAATCCCTGGGGATTCCCCCATGCCGTTGATGCCGATGAAAAATGTTAGTCAAGTAATTAAGGTTAAATCTGTGAAAATCAGACAAATTTGACGGGTAAGTCAATCTTAACAAAAAAACGTCCAAGATCTAACGGAGCGCGAACTGTTACTAAAGACTACGAAGCGGGCTCGGAGGCGCTACAATTTTGTAGGTTCTTCCAATTCAATCAACTCACTTCAACCCTTAGCATTCCGGGTGGCTAGACACGGTATCCCCTGTTTTTGTCTCTAAGCGGAATATGTCAACCATGTCCGCCAATTTTACACCTCCAAGCAATACATACGACATTTCCTTTTTATATATCTTCATGATCCCGACACCTCTATCTCTGGTCCTCCCGAACTGAAGTTCTCTTCTCCTCATGGCCCTTTATACTCCACCATCTCTACCTTTAACTCCTTGCACAATGGGCTCATCATCACGTCCCTCACTCCCCACTGAACTCATAGCCACCTGGTCAGCTTGGCGTCCATTAGGACACACTGGTCTCCTGACTCCTCCAATGTCAGCTTCTCTACCAAGGCTCGGGGCACCACAGGTGACGTCCTTGCCCCCCATTGCTCACTTTGATCGTCAGGTATCCTACATGCACCCAAGTACGTGTTTTTTCCTCTTGTTGTCACGATTGGTTTTTGATCTAGTCAAAGTAACACCTCCGCGTACTCAGGACGCGTCCACCTGGTCGCGACCCGTACACGTCGCGAACGTGTCACCTGAACCGTTTGCGCATGAGATGGACCAGCACCTGCATCCCTTTCAACAAAAGCCTGCAGTGTCCGAAGATGTCCCTCGGCCAATTGATTGGTTTGACGACTCTTTAAAGAGATCGTCACATTATATCGCAGAGAAAACTTGCGAAATGATATGCTACCTATGGTTCTCTGTCTCACTCTCGAGCTCTACATCTACACAACCCCTCACTCCTCCCTATTCCCCTGAGATTCCTGCCGCCACTTCCTCTCTTCAACTTGCTGCAACACCTACCTTTGTGTCTTTCATGCAGAAGTTGCTAGAAACTACCCAGGTCAGCCAGTCGGTGATCGTCCTGTCTCTCCATTACATATGGCGACTCAAGGAGCGTAACCGTTTCACCGCTGGTTTACCGGGAAGTGAGTTTCGCATCGCAGTCGCCGCGCTCATGATGGCAAACAAATTTCTTGACGAGTGAGTTCAATGTGCCTATTTACGTCATTGGTTTCTCAAGTATTATTCTAGCAACACGTACACCAATAAGACTTGGTCGGAGGTTTCTGGTATCGAATTGGCTGAAATCTCCCGAATGGAGAAAGAGTTTCTGATGGGAATCGACTTCAATCTTTACATCTCCAAGAAAACGTATGATTCATGGATGCACTTATTGAGGGGACTCGTCCACGCCAAAGAAAGGGAGTGCCGTAGATGGCGCCATACTCGCACCCGGCATCGGACGCCTCGTCACAGCCATACTCAACCGATGTCCGCAGCACCAATCCGTTCATACAGGTGGAGGTGTCACTCGACATCGCATCGGGCACGTTCGACCTCGCCTGAGCAACCCGTTCATCCTCGTACATATTCATCCTCTTATCACGTGACGCCACCAAATCCTGTTGTCTCGCCGTGTCTTGCACCAGGTTTGAAACGCTCGGCTGCTGATGCGTTCTCACCTACTTCGTCATCGTTCCACGAGTTACCGCCCTTGAAGCGTCCCACTGGCATGACTTTGCAAATTCCGGAAACCAATTATCCAGCTGCCCCTCATTCGGCGTCGCCAGTTGAATCTCTGCAGTCCTTCGCCAAGATGTCGTTATCATCATCATCGCCACACTCGGTACGGACCGCACAGTCCAATCAGTCGCACAAAGGCGATACACGCCCGCAAACTCTGGTGGCTGCGTACTGTGCGGAAGGACCCGTGAATGTCCCTCAAGTATGTGGTTTCACCCTAATCCATATAATTTGTCTCACATTCGTGGTAGAACCTTTATTATTATTCGCTTGCTGGGTCATCAACTGACTATGCAGCGGAAGAGGAAAGGGTCCGCCGCAAAGCCCGATTGCGGTGCTATCAGCCTCAGCCTTCATCTGCGCCATCTAATCCGCCCCCATCATACATGCCACAGGACATCCAGTCCGAGTCTGTCAGCCCTTACGAAATGCATGTGGACGTGCGAGCGGTGCCTCTTCCTCACCTACATGATGCTGTCTGGTCTCGTAAGTTTGTTCGCCCTCCTTCGTATGGCGAAAGTTCTTTGCAATTACCTCCTTTACGGGAAAACGCAGTTCCGTCGGCTCCTTTCGCCAACGCAGGACCACCTGGCGTCCATTTTTACTCAGCTTCTAGTCAGCGGGAATCACCCGTATATCCTTATAATTGGTCTTATGGCAGATAGTCCTACTCATTTCTGTTTATTGCACACAATTATTGCATCTCATCGGTTCCCCTTTCACATCGAACTTCAACTTACTTAGCACTTTCGCCATATCATTTCGTTGCACGCAATATCATTCATTCATTGACACTGACATACATTCTCGGCATTTTCATTTGTATTTCACTTACATTTCCACGTTCTGTTAGCAGAGATCAAGAAATTACATTACCCTCATAGTTAGCTACTGTACGAGAAAGAATTGATAAACTGGCCATACTTCGAACTTCCGATTTCCGAACTCATCGGAACTCGTGGGATTAGTTGCGAACCAATTGCAAGCTATATGAATGAACCTGATGTGATGTACTTATCAAGTCTACTAACAACGGCAAGTTGGCAACTGCGCTGTTATTGGTGCGGCCTGACAGATCTATGACCGAAACAGCCTAAAATTTCGATGCCAATGATCTTCCGAGTCTGGAAGTACATGTGCGCAGAAGCCATCTTTTTCCCGCATAGGTCAGTGAGAAATGACGGTATCATGCCTGATCATGCTCAGTTCCGCACTCCGCGGTCAATCCTGTCATCGGAGCCCTGTTACAGATCGCTCGCCAGGCTTTTGATGTCCCTGCTATAAGTACGAGCTGATCTGCGTGGAATTGTCACGGATGAGGTTCCGTGTCCGTCCGACACGTCCATTTCCCATTACTGTGTGCCCCTATGTCCTCATTGTTAACAGACTTAAGTTCTGAAACTGGTTCTCACCGTAATGGAACGGTCCAGCTCAGAAATAGGTTTGGCCGGGTGTGACGAGACAACCTAACTTCATACGAGAATTTTTAGCGTTCATCCCGGAGTAGCCCATCACTGCGACCAGAATGGCATGTGTAGGCATCTGAATGTCAATGAATCAGACGGGATACCGGTCTGATAGATACGCATGGATCTTTTCCGTCACACAAATGCATCGACGATTCATGTCGGACTTGTTCCTTACCACGCCTAGTAATAGCGTGTAGGCCATTTGGAGTTACATTTGACAGATTTCGACGCCTGATACAAATGCCATGTACTGCCAACTCACAGGTTAATAATGATGGCCTTCCGAATTATTATTTGCGGGGCCAGGGGTCGGTTTCAGTGTCTGATGAGACATATCTTGATCTCAATTGAGCCATGTTGGAGGAAAAGAAAGCCTGGGTGAAGAAGTAACCGGATAACAAACCCGTCACTAAAAGACAAGTTCGTTTCGAATCGATCGAATTTCATATCAGTAATGACTCAGTATGGGCGATGATTCTTGACTCACAAGCACCACTGATAATAGTTTTATTCCGGCCAAAGCCCATAAATTTGGAGCCCACTAATGCTGTGACGCAAGCATTAGTTATCGGACGTGTAAGGGACATGGCACGCGAATTATGATAGTAATATCAAAACTTACCTCCTGCCAGGCCCGACGTCAAGCCAGCGAATATCCCGTCTCTGCGAGCCTCCTGCCAACGATATGCCATCATTTCAACGTTCCATGCAAAGTAACACGAACCCTCCATGCGGCTGCTTTGATCTCTTCCACACCAGGCTTGTGATCCAGCTCCATTGTCTGTGTTTGATCGTGCAGCAACAAGGCGGCCGTAAGCGAAGTTCTAAAATAATTTTTGAAGGGGTAAACTCGAAAAAATAAAAATATCAGAAAAAGGGTCCAGTTAGCCGTCCGGATTTGGAGTTACAACTTTGATTTGAACGCGGTTTGTCACGCCACGGTACGCGTTACGTTGTGACGGAACGCGCTTCTTCGCCTTTACTCCCGTTTTGTTATCAGGATTCAGAATAGTGTTATGTCCCCTGGAGGGAAGAAGAGTCGGGCTCGGAGTCCACAGGAACTTTATGACGAAATAAAAGGTATCAATCTCCGGGCTCCCATCAGACGCATTCATACATCTAACGTTTCCCACTGTAACCCAAGAACTCTTGATCAAGACAAAACCAAAGCTAAAGGACGGAACTACCAGGGATGAAACCATAACGAGGGATTTACATAAGATCGCATCGCTTGCACAGACATTCACAGAACAGCGCCTAAAGTCGAGCAAAAAGAGCCAGTTATCAGATTTCCTTGATCAGGAAGGTTCGTATCATTTTCGGCTTCTGTGCGAACAAACCATGAAACCCAAGTGTCTCGCTTTAGGTGTCAGCCTGTGGAATGCGTCCGGTGCGGTCCGTCAAGGCTCTGCACATGACAGCCGCGTTGTCGTCGCCGCTTGTATGCTTCTTTGTTTTCTATGATTGGTTTCACTTTAATCCAGGCTTGCCAGTGCGGCTAGCTGGATTTCGCCTCATGGAAGCAGGGTTAGAACCTAAGCCTGAGACTGAAGGTTGGGAGAAGATCAGAATTCTTGCGTGATTGTCGCTCATTTATGTTCTATCAGCATTATTACATATTCTTCAAATCGCGAGTAAGACTGGCGCAACCCTGTCCGGTGTGTTTTGAGCCCAATATCTCGTATCTCCAAATATCAACATTGCGTCCACGGGTCCAGAACTCGGCCACAATGACACTGCATCGGGCGTGCTGAGTTGTGCGGCGAAGGTGATTATTCTTGCTGTGGTGGTTCGTTATTAATTTTCTCTCAAAGTATGAAGAAGCGCTGAGAAATATTGACGACACGAGTGGCACAAATCAGCAAGCCAGGGCATGTGTTACAGCTGTCTACCTCTCAACCAGAATGGAAGCAGTGAGGACTCTAATCCTCGTGATGTAGAGGCGTTGATATATTTAGCACCTCGTGAAATAGGCTTGGAGGGAAGGAAATGAAGGGTTAGCGGCCTTTATGGCTGACAAAGTCACAGGTTGTCCCTGAGTCCTTTTTTGATATGAACCGCTCTGATTGTCCTCTTAGAGAATGACGGACGGCTCGTGCTCCTTTCAAATCATGACGTAAGTCCCATTCGGTCAACAAACTTCTCATGGTAAACATTTTCAGCGAGAGACGCTGGCGACTAAGCTTCTTGACATTGGCAAATCACTTTTGAGAAGTTGCTATCAGGATAACAAAGTGGCGCCAGAAGAAAGCAAGGCTAACGAGGCTATTCGATGGATGCAGAAGGCGTTTTCCGTCATCGAGCCTCTGGATTGTACGGCCAATGCCGGGCTCGCTGAACTCAAGGTGAGCACTTCTCAGTCAACTAGTCACTCCTCATTGAACTCTAGTCAGAGATCGGTTCTCAGGAGTCTGGGTAAGTGAACTTGGCTCCATTCTGCAATACAACAGGGCTCAGATCGGCCCCCTATTAGCCCGTGGCTACTTCTTGTCATCATCCCAGGATCCAGAGAATTTGATCAGAGCGGAAACCGCGCTAGAAGAAGTTATTGCAACTATCGATTCTTCTGTAGACAACGTAAGCACAGTACTGCCAGTGACATGCTCAAGCGGCATTTACACACGTTCCTGTAGGTAAGCTCCGAATACCAGCAACTCCGATGGATGAAGTTGGCTGTCATAAAGCGGCGGAAAGCTGGAGATACTGTTCTTCTTCAAGGTGAACTTTCCTGGACCGGCATCTTCCACATATAGTGGCAAGTTGGCTTACTCACGTTCTTTCATTAGCTTTACAAGCCATCGTTGACAACCTGACATATTCAGAAAGCAATCTTACCGAGTGAGTTTATGGGAATGCTGTAATATGTTCCGTTTCCTCATATCACGTTTCAAAAGTGTCCTACAGGAACTTCGGACGCTTTCTCAGCATCAGTAAGTCGTCCGATACGGTGCAGTGTTCTTTTGATTCAATGTGGGCGTAGCCAATTAGTCACGAGTACAATTCAGTACTGCCTTCATCGTGCCTTGCAGTGCTCTTGGAGCCCAGACGCCGTGGAAAGGCTTCTCATATCTCTCATATTCCATTGTTCCAAAGATGACCAACACGACAGAGCCATACAAGATCTGCATGCATCTTTCAAAGGCAAGTTTTGTTCTAACCTTGTTGTGGTGCGGCTTTGTGCGAATTGTTTTCCTTTTTGTGTAGAACTACGTGACGTGGAATTTGAGCTTCTCAAAGCTCCGGCCACAGCTTGCATCACTGTGCGTGGATGCTCCATTCGGCTCATTGAATTATACCGGAATTTTCAAACATTTCTATAGCTTTTATGGCAATACGGTGATCGCCATTACCATGCGGGGCGATGGAACCAAGCTGCGGATTGGTTCACCTGTGGCACACATTCTATATTTACAAGTTTAGGTCCTGTCAGCAGCTCAAAGTGTTTTCGGAAGGCTGCCCTAGCGCATCTTAAGCAAAAGGACTACGCTCACGCGGGGTCCATCATCCGCCGCTGTCCTGACACAGAAGCCACGACACAATATGTAAAGTTTCTTATTGCGGTTCATCAAGGTCTGCAGGGGCATTGCCTCATAGCGTGATTTTATCTCATTTATTCCAATTTCAGGACTGGAAGACGAAGGTATCTCCATTCTGAAGCACAGCTGGTCGCCTCTAATCGGTCGGTCACTTATCAGCGATAAACACAATACGCAATATGGTTCACGCCGTGAACTTCGATCGCAAGATGATTTTATTGGCCTGCCGGCTCGCACATGACTTGGACATGAAAAATCTTCTTCTAAACGTGCTGAAGGCTCTTCTGGAAACGTTAAACCTCCGAGAGAACGTGGGGAACAGCACTGAAGCCATGACATTGGTAAGGTGTATTATCAGGCTTATTGTGAAACTCCTTGGAGAACCAGCTGCCGATTTGTGAGTTTTTGTGGCGTCAAGCACCGAGATACTGGCTGAAATCATATCAGGAACCGTCTAGTGGCGGCATTACTTCACCACCTGAACATTGGTTGGTCGAAATTTATGGGACCACTCACATATTCTAACACGGTGGTAGCGGTGACTATTGTAGAATCGTGTGAACAGCCAGCCATGCTTTCAAGAGATGTATCCTGGCTCTGGAGGACTGCATATAATTGTGCTATCCAAGCTTGTTCTGATTGGGAAGACAGAGAAGATCAAATATCTGACATCTTTGACGCAGCAAGACGAGTCAGTGACTTTCTAACAACGATTTTCCTGGGGTTAATCAGATCACCCAGCTTCTCGAACTCTACACTGTACACGCAACTGTAGACGTGGACCAAGCTATCTATATTTACTTGGTGAATGCCTCATTTGCATCCGCTTCGGGCCGTGGTACGCACCCTTAATCCTACCTAGAAGACTACGGCGGCCATAACTTTCCGCACAGTTATGTCTTTCAGACGTTTGCGGTCGCAGACAGAATCAATTGATGTACGTCAAGATTCTCTTTCGAAACCTTCTACTGATTTATTCAGCCTGGAAAATACCGCGATTTGTTCAACAACATCAATCAATCATTACAGCGCATCAGCAAGGTTTTGCGAGAAGAGAAGGTATCGCAAGAAGACCTTCCTCGACTTGAGTCATCCTTGCAGATTTTACGAGTTTTTATTGTGGAAGCGGCATCCCACCTGTCAGATTGGACCACGGTCTTGGCCACCATTGAGGAACGTTATAATTCCCTCATTAACAAATCAGACAACTTATTCTACGTGCAGGAAGCATCTCGCTCTGATCGCGATTCGTTGGAGACGTACGAGGCATTCGCGGACGCCCTAGTGAGACACAATAGCTCTTTCTGCGCATGACTTCTTCAATGTTACTCCTAGTGGGAAGACAAACACTGTCCCATACACGGTAGATATCATTTTCAACTTCGTGATCAAATTCGTGCTAACCAAACCTAGTCCTTTTCACAGCGCTAGAGGTAGGTCCGCGCGGAAGTCGTCGATTCCTCAACTTGATTCTGCGTTGTAGGCCACACTTCATGCGTGTTTGGCCCGCGGACACTTTTCCCTGGAGAAATTTGCTCGTTGGCTACGAGCGATGTGCATTATACTACTGACAAGAGCGACAGGACCCGATCGATCCAAGGCGATTGGGTACGTGGATCAAGCCATCGCTGTCCTGGAGGAGCACGGCGACGCTAGGGACGGCGGTGAACTGGTAAAATTCCGGTCTCGCAGTGTATCCTGGCTCACTTATATATACGGAAGCTCTATCCTCTGGACGAGCGTCAATGGCTTCTGAGCACAGCGTACAACACTGGCCTCGAGTGTCTTCAGTCAGTGAATATCTCATGGGATGTATGCTGATACATGATTCATCTACCTCAGTGCCTCCATGGTCGATGAAGCAAAGCGTTGGTTCGAATGCTCCACCATTATCTGTCGCTTCGTTCCCGATGGTCGGCAACGTGCAGAAAAGGTAGGCGAAATACAATGTGAAATTAGACTTTACCGCATCCCGCAACAGATATCGACAACCTATAGCGACCTCTTAGCACGCTACCCGACTAGATGAAGCGATTGCACAACCATCAAACAGCTTTAACACCGCGACTGGATCACCCCACATCTGTATTATTATGTGTGTTTGTTCTTGTATCTTAACAAAGACCAATGGACTTTGCACTTTTTATTGCTGTGAGAAATGACGCAGCTGATAGAGTAGTACACGACCGCGAGTGTTGCCAATAGCCAGGTACTCGCTCTCACGGGAGAAATCGACAGAGGTTACATGTCCGAGAGGGGTACTTGACGTGGGCCAGTTCCCAAACGCTGTCAATGATGGGCAATGGACCTATAGCATGAAGTTGAATGAGTAAAAGCTTGGGAAAGATGCAATATTGACGCACCATCCGCATCTGATCTTTTTTATCGTTACTTGCGATAGCAAGTAACTGGGAGTCATGGTTAAACCGTAACGTTGAGATACTTGTTGTCAGGTTCCCAATCGTCTTCAAAGTCTTTGGTTTGCCTCCCTCAAGATCGATCGTGCTCTCTGCGTTGTAGACATTGACCAAACCTGTGTTTGAACTTGGGGCCATAATGTCAGTGTGAACACCCACCTCACAAAACGAAAACGTACCCAACGGTCAGATATTTTCCTTGGCTATCTCCACCAAATAATCGGCTGCCGAACCCGCCTTCATCCTGCCATCGTTTTACGCATTTGCGCTGTCCAATATTCCAAACATAAACTTGTGAATCTTCCGTCAAGCCCAGAAGCTCGCCTGCTCCGGCCTTCGACCACCACAGGGACTTCACATTCGTGTTTGCCTTGAGTTCGCCCACGACTTGCGCTGCACCTGACCGCCAATCGACAAGATGAACCTGGCCTCGCCGTCCTGCAACAGCAAGAATGTCTCCTGTCGGGTTGAAGGAAGATATCTCCATGCTCGCGCCCTGGTCCCCACGACCCGAAGAGAATGTGGTGCCCCATAAACCTCGAGGGGAGCGGTGGGAGGCTCCAGACTGAAGGTCGTACGTATAATAGAAAGGTCGTGGACCAGTCATCAATATGGACGTGCCGCTGGGGTGGAAAACGGCATTGGTGATAGGAAGTGATGGGACGTGAAGAGTTTGGGCATGAGGATTTGTGAGGCCGTCGATCTATCAACCAAGTTCAAGTTCAAGTACGAAAACATGAGAAGTAATACTCACATGGAAAAGTCGCAGGCGGCGGTCTGCACTTGCAGTCAAAAGGACAGGGATGTGAGGAGAAGGGTGAAATGCGACCGTTTTTATTTCGCCGTCCGCTGGCGCAGCTTGATTAGCATCTCGCAATCGTTCAATGAAAAGCGTGCTCGGGGGTATAGCTCTTGACTTGGCAGTCGCCAAAATTCCAGCCGTTGATGCCAGTAGTTCCGGCACAACATCCTCTCCACTCTCAGATCCAGAAACCGATGATCGTCGTCTCTTTCCGCGTTCCCTTTTCTTGCGCGCAATGGATGCCCAGTCTGGAGTTGGATTTATGTGCTCGAATTGCCTGCGTAATCTGCGTTCGTATTCGCGTCCTCCCACTGTATCATCAGACGGCGCATCGCGCAGTTTGCGAAGACGGTTATTTGATGCGAGTGAAACCTGAACGTTTACATCGTCTGGGTCTGTCCATGCGGGAGCTTTTGTTTTTTGGGGCTGCTGGGGGATTTCCTGGGGAATGATGGAGATTTCTTCGTCTTCATCACTTTCTGGAACCTCCGGTATTACGGGCTCTTCGTCATCGTCCGCATCAGACTGTACATCGTCTTGGGGAGCTTGGTCGAGCTCGGATAGTCCAGTATTATTATCCACGAAAAAAAGCTATAGGTAAGGTGAATAATGAAGGGTAATTTCAAGTAGTTCTGCACGTACATCTGAGTCGAGCAAATTTTCAAACTCTCGTCCTACTTCATGTGGCTCATCCTCTGCTTCCTCATCAGATACAACCAAAATTTCCTTCCCAGCCTTCTCAGGAGCATACGGGACACCGAATAGTAAGTTTTCGAGACGCCTCTCCTCGTCGTCTTTACTGGTGTCATTGCGCAGGTCAGCACCAAGCGGGATTGTTTTATGTTGTGGTTTTCCTGTCTTTTGACGTTTCCGAGGATTTTTGACCATCGTGACACAACGTTATCACTAGTAGTAGTGGTAAGGCTTGGTGGATGTTGTGAGCAATAACATTCATCGAAAACCGGGTGGCTGTGTAGAACTTAACGTTTTCTGCCATCTACCATCAATCGACATCAAGCGCTAGTTCGCCATCGATTTATATACAGGCTTGAATCTGATTATCCACCACACATAATTTTCAAATCTATATGGAACCTGTCGAGGATCAGAGTTCTTCGCAGTCAGGTGCGGTGGCTCCTTTACTGAGATCGTCATCAGGCATGTATCACGATCTCATCAGGTTGTGTTTACCCGGAATCAACTGAGTATCAACCGTCTGTCGCGGATGTCCTACGATTAAAACGGTACCTGCAACGCAAGCTTCCTATGGAGCTTATTGAAAGGATTATCGACGAGGCATCTTACTGGCCACACAGTACACTTTACATCGAGCGGCCTATTACCGTTCCACTTTACAGGGAAGGAAAGCGTTCTGAAGAAGGGATATTTATAAGAACGCTCCCTCTTGGCGTTCACGGTACTGAGGGCGAATTCAGGATCCTCGAGAAAGACTTCGAGGCCGGTGGGGCAGCTTGGGAGAGGAAGCTGCTACTTGGCAGACTGGACGACACCTTACCGTCCGCGCCGATGCTATCATCGCATCCGTGCAGAAAGATAGAGTTCCAGAATTGGACTCATGATCAAAGATTGAGGAAGCAGTTTCCTCATACCTTCACCGCATCATACGTATGGTGCGATGTCAGCATAGAGAGATTGGAGACACCCATCTCTGACACCATCGAATGGCCGGCGCGCTTTCTTTTCAACGAGTGTAAAACAGAACTATCGATTATCCCACAAGACACCGGGAGTCCATTATTTCCTCTCAGCACGAAACTGTCTAAAAATCTCGCGGCGAAGACCTCGGGATCAGATCACACCATGTTTTGGCACGCCAACGATGGATTTGACAAGGATGCTGACGGTGACTGCTTTTGGCATTTTCTTGACAATACCTTTGACAGGCAGGACGCCAAGACAGCAGAGGTGGGGAAAATGGTGCGCAGCTTGCGAGTAGGAGATTGCATGTCCCTGTTTGCCCATTCTCGGTTTCCCAACTCTGAAGGTAAAGTTCATCAGGCCAGGGTCACTGTGTATTGGGCGGTGTAGCATATCATGATATCTTCCAATTCCAACGCATGCCGTACCTGGCAGATATACTACCTCCTTCAATTTTCCGTTACTTACGAGCCAAGCTCATTTACAGTACTTGCTACGTTATAGAGAAGAAATCTGTTCACTACAATTTCCACACGTTACAGTGTATCCATTCCATCCTACGACCGTCGAATTAGTGCAGGCAACTTAATCGTCATAGATTGGCTGAGCCCCTTACTGCAGAAACCCTCCGTATCGCTCTCATCATAATCGATTCAGTTCTAGGGACTCCGACTCAGAGATATACTCAAGTCTAGCGAAATCAACAATTCAAACACAACTTTGAAGCTTCCCAGTTGCCAGTGAATAATGACGGTGTGTCGCAGACATTGTTACTACTAAAACGGGACTTGCGACCCAAGCTCACTACGTGACAGGATTACCGACGAAGCATCTTGCTGGTCGCATGGGCTAGCTCAGATCAGTCTGCCTTGAAAGCTCGTCGAATCAGCATTCCCATGTGGAGAGACAACAGATATTGTGGATGGCATATACATTACTCCTCAAGTGGACTTCAGAGCACTGAGACAGACCTCCGACTGGACTACAAAGGCGTAGTAGCCACTGCGGAAGACTCATCATGCATCATGCCCCACAACCACGGTATCACATCCCTTCAGAAATATCGAGATACTGCTTTTAAATTGATAGCAAATACTGGAGTCGGGGACAGATGAATGATGTATGAGGTTAGCTTAGGGAAGTTGCACTAGAGGTCTGTCCTCACAAATTAATAATTGAATGGCCAGCGGCGTGTCTTCAATCTCGACCCAAGGCCGCCATTTCAAATGTTCAAAGCCACGACACCAGACTATTCCTTCCTCCCAATCCGATACTTCACAATAGTGTGTGATGCTGTGACGCCGGGCGGGACGTCAAATATTATAGGACACCATTAATGTTGTCCGGCACTTTCTCAATTCCTGCGACGAAGAACCTGCAACGAGATGGTCGCGGTCTGCAGGCTTTGATTGTACAGTTATTACGCAGTTTGCAAGCAGGATATTGTGTTACCCTGCAGGCTCGAACTAGTATTGTCACATTGTTCCTTATTTGGTGCCGTACGCATAACCAAAAGGACAAGATCACGATATGAAACCACGGCGCCATTAACGTGCGGCTGGAAGATGATTGAGGCGATTTGCCAAGGTGTCTAGTATAACACCGTCTGGCTGTATGAATGGTCTGGAGATCCGGGCTGCGTTCTTTGACAAGCACGTTAGGTACGATCCACACAAGTCAAGGGTCGAGATCACTAACAAAGGGAGACATATTGATTTCTCTGGAAGCGACTCGTGAGACCATGATCGGTTTGGCTGTCTGTCAGCGTACTTGATCGCGCCAAGCAACTCACGGGGGCCCTTGCATTAGCACACTTCCTTTGAGTACTTATCTTGGAGTCGTTGTGCACAAACCTAGTCCAGGTACCAGACGACATAGGTGACAATCCGCGGTATTCACGGATGCTCCGTAATTGAACCGCACCAGCCATTTCGTAGTAGGATACTCCGATATGTAAGCAATACGTCGTTGTCGGCAGGAGGAGCTGTAATCACTAGGCGGACTCCATGCTGTCCGGCGGAATCGTGCAACCTAAGAGATCTTACAGAATTAGCCATAGACATATCATCCCACTCATACCTGTTTTCCGTGAGAAATGACGATTCCTCCTCGTGAGTTACTCGAGTAGACTCATCGACTTGAGTGCACCTCGCTTGATTTGAGGCAGCTACATTCTCATGGGACCTTTTTCGTGGTATATCCGTCTCACGAGTCTATTCCCAGTCGGGAAAGGGCGGGATGATCGGGTATTGTGTGTATGATGTGGTTCCGATGTCGAGCGCTTGGGGGTTGACTTCCTTGCACAGCGGGCGTTCCTATGGAGTGGGCCGGCATCACAAGAGCACAAGGGCACTTTGATTTCATTACGCGAGAAGTTTTGGTGCAGTTTTTTAGTTGGCCAAATTTGTTGCCACCATAGCATCATGATGAT